TTTGCTTCAAAATTTTGTATACAGGTAGCCAAGAGAGTGCTAATAGTGCTAGCCTTTTGCCGTCAGAAAGTATTTCTACCCACTTTTGAGATATGGTGTCCGAAAAGTAGGTCAAAATAAAAAGTTCTCCAAATTTAACATATGAGCTATGAAATAAGAGTAGAATTGTCTCAGGAATCCGAATCTGCAAACCAAATTTCGATCCGACTTCCGGTTCAAAAGTAATGGCGTGTCCGAAAAGTAGGTCAAAATAAAAATTCGCCAAATTTAATGTATGAGTTATGAATTAGGGGCAGAATTTTGTCAGGAATCCGAATCTTTAAATGAAATTTCGATCCTACTTCCGGTTCGGAAGTTATGGCGTTTTGAAATTTCGGAAAATCGATCTGATGGTATCCTGATAGAAAGTTAAAGAAAAAAGATTTTTTTGAAGTGTAAAATACGAGACATAGATTGAGTACAGCTTAAGATAATGAATTCCTATAAAAGAAGGGGACCTCAAAAGCTACCTAGTTTCAATATTTGGACACCAAAATGCCTAGGTCAAAATCTAGGTCAAATTCATAGTTTTTCCTTATTTTTGCGATTCTGGCACTCCACTTTTAGGATTTGCTTCAAAATTTTGTATACAGGTAGCAAAGAGTGGGCTTATAGTGAGAGCCTTTTGCCGTCAGAAAGTATTTTGACCCACTTTTGAGATATGGTGTCCGTAAAGTAGGTCAAAATAAAAAGTTCTCATAGTTTAACTTATGAGTTATGAATTAAGGGTAGAATTTTCTCAGGAATCCGAATCTGCAAACCAAATTTCAATCCGACTTCCGGTCAAAAATTCCTTCTTACCTACCTACTTACCTACTCGGCTACCTACTTAGCTACCTACTTCTCAGCTACTTACTCGGCTACCTACTCAGCTACTTACTCAGCTACCTACTCAGCTGCTTACTTAGCTACCTACTCAGCTACTTACTCAATTACTTAATCATCTACTCACTCAGCTTCCTACTCAGTTACTTACTCAGCTCTTTACTCAAGTAAATCAATCTGGAGTCTTAAATTGAACTTTGTTCAATTTACCAATCTAGTTATTATTATTATTCCTCCTCACCAAATTTCTCGTCAACTATAACAGCTTACTTAATCCAACTTACATGGTTAACTAAGGACTGTATCCGGCTTTCTGGGAAATTAGGTCAAATTTCTATCTAGGTCATAGGTCAAGAACTAGGTCAAATCGTTGATTTTCACTAATTCACCACTTTTCTCAGTCGTCTTTCAATATTTTTGCTCCAGGTTTTTTTCATCATGTTCCTTGGAAAAAACGCTAATTCCGTAAGGCAAATCATTTTTTGATTACTCTTACCGATTTTGAGATATTGCGTCCGAAAAGTAGGTCAGAACAAAAAACTCTCCAAATTCAACATGAGAGTTATGAAATAAGTGTAGAATGATCTCAGGAATCCGAATCTGCAAACCAAATTTCGATCCGACTTCCGGTTCGGAAGTTATGGCGTTTTGAAAGCTCAAAAATCGCTAAATTTGGTGCCTATGTTAAGTCAATGGGAAAAAAGACTTTTTCGAAGTGTAAAATACAGGATATAGACTGAGTACAGCTTAACATAATGAATGCTTATAAAAGAAGGGGACCTCAAAAGCTACATAGTTTCAAAATTTGGACACCAAAATGCCTAGGTCAAAATCTAGGTCAAATTCATAGTGTTTCCTTATTTTTACGATTCTGACACTACACTTGAATAACTTACTTCCAAATTTTGTATACAGGTAGCAAAGAGTGTGCTCATAGTGTTAGCCTTTTGCCGTCAGAAAGTATTTTGACCCACTTTTGAGATATGGTGTCCGAAAAGTAGGTCAAAATAAAAAGTTCTCCAGATCCAACGTATGAGTTATGAATTAAGGGTAGAATTTTCTCAGGAATCCGAATCTGCAAACCAAATTTCGATCCGACTTCCGGTTCGGAAGTCATGGCGTGTCCAAAAAGTAGGTCAAAATAAAAAATTTCCAAATTTAACGTATGAGTTATGAATTAGGGATAGAATTTTGTCAGGTATCCGAATCTGCAAACCAAATTTCGATCCGACTTCCGGTTCGAAAGTTATGGCGTTTTGAAAGCTCAAAAATCGCTAAATTTGGTGCCCCATGTTATGTCAATGAGAAAAAGGATTTTTTGAAGTGTAAAATACCAGATATAGACTGAGTACAGCTTAATATTCTGAAAGCCTATAAAAGGAGGGGACCTCGAAGACTATCTAGCTTTAAAATTTGGACGCAAAAATGCCTTGGTCAAAATCTAGGTCAAATTCATAGTTTTTCCTTATTTTTGCGATTCTGACATTACACTTTAAGGATTTGCTTCAAAATTGTGTATACAGGTAGCAAAGAGTGTGCTTATAGTGTTAGCCTTCTGCCGTCAGAAAGTTTTTTGACCCACTTTTGAGATATGGTGTCCGAAATATAGGTCAAAATAAAAAATTCTCAAAATTTAACGTATGAGTTATGAATTAAGGGTAGAATTTTCTCAGGAATCAGAATCTTTAAACCAAATTTCGATCTGACTTCTGGTTAGATAGTTATAGCGGTTTGAAGTCTCGAAAAGTCGATATGATGATATCCCCATGTTAAGCTAATAGAGTCGAAGATAGCCTTCTTAAAAGTTGTCTAAATGTCTATATTCTAGCTGACTCAGCTTATTCTGAATGACTCAGCTTACAAGTTCTGGATGACTCAGCTTAAACAAAGTTTGAAATCTGGAGTCTTAAATTGAACTTGTTCAATTTACATGTCTAGTTATTATTCTTCCTCCTCACCAAATTTCTCGTCAACTATAACAGCTTACTTAATACAACTTACATGGTTAACTAAAGACTGAAACCGGCTTTCTGGGAAATTAGGTCAAAATTTTATCTAGGTCAAAGGTCAAGAACTAGGTCAAATCTTACATTTTCAACATTCTTCATCATATCTTCGTCAATATTCTTCGTAACTCCTTCATCTTTTTTTCATCGTGTAGCTTAGAAAAAGGCGAATCAAAGATATGACATCAGAATTTTGATTACTCTTACCGATTTTGAGATATGGCGTCCGAAATGTAGGTCAGGCCTAAACATGCTCCAAATCGAATGTGTGAGCTATGAAGAAGATGTAGAATTTTCTCAGGAATCCAAATCTGCAAACCGAATTCGGATCCGACTCCCGGTTCGGAAGTTATGGTGTTTTGAAAACTCAAAAATCGCTAAATTTGGTGCCTATGTTAAGTCAATGGGAAAAAAGACTTTTTCGAAGTGTAAAATACAGGATATAGACTGAGTACAGCTTAACATAATGAATGCTTATAAAAGAAGGGGACCTCAAAAGCTACATAGCTTCAAAATTTGGACACCAAAATGCCTAGGTCAAAATCTAGGTCAAATTCATAGTTTTTCCTTATTTTTACGATTCTGACACTACACTTTAATAATTTACTTCAAAATTTTGTATACAGGTAGCAAAGAGTGTGCTAATAGTGTTAGCCTTTTGCCGTCAGAAAGTATTTTGACCCACTTTTGAGATATGGTGTCCGAAAAGTAGGTCAAAATAAAAAGTTCTCCAGATTCAACGTATGAGTTATGAATTAAGGGTAGAATTTTCTCAGGAATCCGAATCTGCAAACCAAATTTCGATCCGACTTCCGGTTTGGAAGTTATGGCGTGTCCAAAAAGTAGGTCAAAATAAAAAATTTCCAAATTTAACGTATGAGTTATGAATTAGGGGTAGAATTTTGTCAGGAATCCGAATCTGCAAACCAAATTTCGATCCGACTCCAGTTCCGAAAGTTATGGCGTTTTGAAAGCTCAAAAATCGCTAAATTTGGTGCCCCATGTTATGTCAATGAGAAAAAGGATTTTTTGAAGTGTAAAATACCAGATATAGACTGAGTACAGCTTAATATTCTGAAAGCCTATAAAAGGAGGGGACCTCGAAGGCTATCTAGCTTTAAAATTTGGACGCAAAAATGCCTTGGTCAAAATCTAGGTCAAATTCATAGTTTTTCCTTATTTTTGCGATTCTGACATTACACTTTAAGGATTTGCTTCAAAATGTTGTATACAGGTAGCAAAGAGTGTGCTAATATTGTTAGCCTTTTGCCGTCAGAAAGTATTTTGACCCACTTTTGAGATATAGTGTCCGAAAAGTAGGTCAACATGAAAGTTTCTCCAAATTTAACGTATGAGTTATGAATTAAGGGTAGAATTTTCTCAGGAATCCGAATCTGCAAATCAAATTTCAATCCGACACCTGGTTTGGAAGTAATGGCGTTTTGAAAAATTAAATTTAAATTTGATATCCCATGTTATGTCAATTATCTTTGTCACTATTCGTCGTTATTCCTTTATCTTTTTTTCAGCATGTAGCTTAAAGACAGTCCTTTCATTATTGTAACTGTCTTTTTTGATTACTCTTACCGATTTTGAGGAATGGCGTCCGGAAAGTAGGTCAACATAAAAAGTTCTCAAAATTTAATGTATGAGTTATGACACAAACGTAGAATTTTCTCAGAAATTCGAATCTGCAAACCAAATTTCGACCCAAATTCTGGTTAGATAGTTATAGCTGTTTGAAGTCTCGAAAAGTCGATATTATGATATCCCCATGTTAAGCCAATGTAGACGAAGATAAGCTACTTACGAGTTGTCTAAATGTCTGTATTCTAGATGACTCAGCTTATTCTGAATGGCTCAGCTTACAGTATTTTGGATGACTCAGCTTAAAAAAAGTTTTAAATCTGGAGTCTTAAATTGAACTTGTTCAATTTACATGTCTAGTTAACCTTATTATCATTTGGGTCTGTTACTGCAGGCGGGAAGTACCAGGGATCTGCAGCACCAGACCCAGCTGTTCTGAAAGGTTTCAGAATCCATTTCAGTTCAACTGTGTTGCTAAATTACTTTGAGAAATTAATGGTTTGCTTTTCGCTCATGTGATCACAATGTTATTTTCCTTTTCAGATTAAATGCACGATGGAGTCTAGTTGTACATCAAATCATTCACCATCAGTTCAGTCTCAAACAGATACAAAATGCATTCAATGTCAAAGTATCTTTGAAAAAGCAAAGCGTGGATATAAGAGATACTCGCTAAAATATTTGAGTGAGGGTTCGAAGTTCAAAGATATACCTGGATTAACAGAGTATTTATTACAGAGATGTGACAATCCTGAAAGCTCATTTGTCTGTGAGAAATGTGTCAAGAAATATCGGGAGAGTCGCCATCACCCATCCACGATGGAGTCTAGTTGTACATCAAATCATTCACCATCAGTTCAGTCTCAAACAGATACAAAATGCATTCAATGTCAAAGTATCTTTAAAAAAGCAAAGCATGGATATCAGAGATACTCGCTAAAAAATTTGAGTAAGGCTTCGAAGTTCAAAGATATACCTGGATTAACAGAGTATTTATTACAGAGATGTGAAAATCCTGAAAGCTCATTTGTCTGTCATAAATGTGTCAAGAAATATCGGGAGAGTCACCCTCACCCATCCATGATGGGGTCTAGTTGTACATCAAATCATTCACCATCAGTTCAGTCTCAAACAGATACAAAATGCATTCAATGTCAAAGTATCTTTGAAAAAGCAAAGCATGGATATCAGAGATACTCGCTAAAAAATTTGAGTAAGGCTTCGAAGTTCAAAGATATACCTGGATTAACAGAGTATTTATTACAGAGATGTGAAAATCCTGAAAGCTCATTTGTCTGTCATAAATGTGTCATGAAATATCGGGAGAGTCACCCTGACCCATCCACTGCTTCATTACCTCATCATCTCCTGTTTCATTCATATTCATCCAACTTGCCCCAAGAACCTCAAAAGCGAGTTCCAGTCAAGCGTGTATATAAGAAAGTACGGTTAGAAGCAATGAACGCACTAAAACAATGTAAATATAGACGTCTTATTAAACTTTTATTTGAAGGAAGCAAGAAATTCAAACATGAATTTCACAAATTTCTAAGTGAAAAGGTAAAAAGAGAGATAAAAACCTTCTCAAAACAAATTAAGCCTTACAAAAACTGGAGGGATTTAATGGACCAATCCAGCAGCAGTATGCCAATATTAACAAGTACAATTGAATCAGCTGTGCCAAAACAAAAGAGCATGAACGAAGATGATCAAGCTGCACGAGTCGGGGTGGTGACATCTATACTGTGCTATCGCAAAAGTCGACTATTGGGAAATCAGTTTCAAAAGATAACAAGCTATCAACTTTCAAAGCATGGGTGTGACAAGAAAGTAAGTTTTATTTATTTATAAGTGGTTAAGTTGATGATTTAACAATTTACATATGAATTAAAGTTTTATGATTTTGTGAAGGATAGGCTATTATTCTAGGTTTCCAGTGGAGCATGTATTTTATTGGACCTTCGGCCCTTGGTTCAATATGTCACTTTATTATTTCCATGTTGTGATACTCATTCTCTCATTGGTCAATTAGATACCATGTGACTTAGAATATATATAGGTATTCCATGTCTCCCTGCTTAGAAAATGTGTGAAGAGTGTATTCACCTGCAATGACGTCATTTGTGAATACACATATTCAATTAAAATGACATCACATCACTCCCAGGAATTCAGTAAAAAGTATTTCCATCTGATATGACAGACAGTGAAGTTGTATCAGGAAGCCCTCCCAAGAAAAGGTTCAAAACTGTATAACAAACACTGGATAAAGATTACAAATGTATTCAAAAACTCAACTTATCAAAGCACGAAGACAGTGGACTTTAACATGGAAGATCCGAATCTAATTTTTATCCATGGTGACAGAGATTGTGAATTATAACAGAATATTGGTAAACGTTTTGGAAATATGTTGAAATTAAACATCATATACAATATTGTGTACTTCTAACTTTAATATTGTGAACTACTTTAATGAGGAAATAATAAAACAAATATTGAATTCTGTGATCGTTTAATATCTGTATATAATTCTGAGAGATGTATTCACCTCACCTTCAGGCTGTGGAGAACACCCCTTCAGAAATATATAGGGATTATCCTATATGAGGTTCAGGATATTGGGATTATCCCAAGGCAAGTATAATATATCTGCCTGAGGGCCGCAGGTCCAGAGGGAAAATATATTATATTGGCCAAGGGATAATCCCAATATCCTAGACCGACTATAGGATAAATATAGGTTATTTACTGGGAGGGATTGAATATGGGTTTTATTCCGAGGGACAATATGATATTGACCGAAGGGTAATATGATATTGACCGAGGGAGCGCAGCGACCGAGTGTCAATATCATTTTTCCCAAGGTCAATATTGTCGCGCGCCAGACTCCCGCCAAGTACCCGTACTCCCTCGGAGAAGGTCTGGTGGCGATGATAAGGGATTCGGAGGTGTTTCTCACGGGCGCCGAGCTGGTTTGGTGCTTCGGCTGTCACTGAGCTAGGAGATGGAGAACACAGGAATATACAAAACAATCAATTACGGGATTTTAATAATCTATTGAACACTATAATATAACAATAAATTTCACAAATGTCCTCAAATGCCTTTATGGCCCAACAACTCAAATACAAATGTCTCTAGATACACTGAGAATCAACAACACTCTGGCTCTGTCTGTCTGTCTCTACTCTGTTCTGACTGTCTGCTCCACTCTAGTTGTAAGCTCTGCTCTACTCTGCCTGTCTGCTCTGCTCTGCTGCAGCTGTCTGCTCTGCTGCAGCTGTCTGCTCTGCTCGACTCTGCCTGTCTTCTCTACTCTGTCTGTACTGCTCTCTACTCTGCCAGTCTACGCTGCTCTACCTGTCAGCTCTGCTCTGCTACAGCTGTCTGCTCTGCTGCAGCTGTCTGCTCTGCTCGACTCTGCCTGTCTTCTCTACTCTGTCTGTACTGCTCTCTACTCTGCCAGTCTACGCTGCTCTACCTGTCAGCTCTGCTCTGCTACAGCTGTCTGGGTTACTCTGCTGTGCTTGTCGGCTCTGCACGACTCTGCCTGTTAGCTCTGCTCTGCTACAGCTGTCTGCTCTACTCGGCTCTGCCTATCTGATCTACTCGGCTCTACCTGTCAGCTCTGCTCTGCTACATGGGTGGAAATTACCTTCAATGGGAGAATTCTAGCTCCAGACAGAAAAAGTCAGGAATGTCAATCAAAGTTGAGATTAGACCCGAGATTTCTGCCTCAGTGGTAGCAGGTCAGCCACCTCAATGGTCAGTCACCTCTTGGTCGAAGTCGTCTCTCTACTGAGACTAATCATCTCACGTGAGGGGAAGCACTCTTGCTCCTAGTTGTCACTCTCACTCCCTGGACACAGATAACTACCTCCATAGAAGAACGCTTGCTCTAAGTCCTCACCTCTCAGAAGTAGCCAACTCTCATCAATAGGAACACACTCTCTCTCAGAGTTGTCCCTCTCCTGGGAGTAGTCAACACACGTCAATGGGAGCTCCTCTTGCTCCGAATTGCCACTCTGGTGAGATGAGTAGGGAATATCAATCAAGGATGAGATTAGACCCAACTCACACACCTATGTGGGAGTAAGTACGTCTCTCCAACAAGAACACAACAGCTCTGGGCGAGATAACTCAGGAATATCAATCAGTAAACTGAGATTAGACCAGAGTAGCTCACCTCCCGGAAGTTATCCAAGATGGCGGACACACAATGAATTATGGGAAGAAGACGAAGAAGAAATGAAGTCACAAAATGGCTACGCTGAACACAAGGATCAATACATCAAATCTATCAGAGAAAGGATCAACATAAATCAATCAACACTCACAAACTGCAACTCTGCAAGGTGTCTCCAAGGCGCCTCTAGACTGCAACTAATATAATCCACGAATATATCTCTGCCAATCCTAGATCTGGTCGCCAACACGCAAGCAGCTAATAATCCAACAAATCACTGTTTGTAATCGTCCTACAAAACAGTGCAACACGCAAATATACTCCAAAATTGTCCTTTATCCACTTTAGAATCCTTCAGCTTCTTCAATGCCTTCGAAAAACTTCAATATTCCAACATAAAACACTTTGTTCCATCAACTTCCGGCGCTAGAATCACGAAAATCACTGTACAGCTCTTCACACTTCGACACAAAAAGCTAGACTGCGCACATCAGGCAAAACTCTGTCCTATCTCACTTCACTAATTATATGCGGCGGGAAACCCTCTGATTGGCTGATCTGGGTTTGTTTATCCCATTTGGTGTTGCATTCTGGGTAATATTCATGAGCCATAATCCAGGCATCCTGTTGACCTTTCTTCTTCTGTCTGGCTAATATTCCATTCACATACAGGTTGTACCATTCTACTCCAGGGGTTCCCTCGGCAACAGAGCAAATACATCTCTACATGGTACATGCATGAATCATCTCACTCTCCAAATGAGCTGACTGACTCAAAAAACAAAATCAAACAAAAATGAAAATCACAATTTCGTCACAATATCATATTTTCCGAGGAATAAAACCCATATTCAATCCCGACCAGAAATAACCTATTTATTCCATCATACATTCCTCCTTAAAATGTTACATTTGGATAATGCTTTTATCAATTAGTCAAGGTTAAAAATAACCGGGAAAACCAAAAATAGGTTAATACGTTCCAATACGATTTTTGTCCCGGGGACAATACGATTTTTCCATGTAATACGCTCCAATACGATTTTTTCCCGGGGACAATACGATATTTTCATGTAATACGATTCAATACGATTTTTATTCCTTCATATTTCCCTGGGAAAACAGTAGTATTATGGAATAATATGTTTATCCACCAATCTTGGTCATCTGGTTCAAATTGTTCAGTCGTGGATTATTTTAGAATATTCATGTCCAGTTTTGTTTTCTTGTAACACGTCCAAGTATGGGATAAATACAGATATTCTACTTTACAGAATTCAATATTTGTATTTATCCCATACTTGGACATGTTACAGGTATATAAAGCTGGTTTGTAAAAACTTATATTTTCATCAGAGCGCAGATATAGCTTTACGTCCCACTCTGAGCAGGCAGATATAGTATATCTGCCCGCTATATCATAATCGCCGCTCGCATATTGGTTCATAATTTGTAACGTTCGCGTAATGACTGTAAACGACTATGGAAAAACACAGATAATCGGGAACTGTTTGATGGTTCAAAAAAAGGGAAGGAGCATCCACTTAATCAATCAAAAATTCGAGCAAATAAATATGGGAATATTTGACAGAACAGGAAAATCTGCCCACGGCCAAGAAAACAACCAACTGGACATGAATATTCTAAAATAATTCCACAATTGAACAATGTGAACCAGGTGTTGGATCAGGTATCAATATGTGATAAGTTTGCAATCAGTAACTTGTTGATAAGGAACTTACATACGAGACCAGGTTGAAGTGTCATAGTCTGACTCGTAAATTAGATACAACTGAGGGACAGAATTCAAAGTTTGTGAGGCTAAGTATTTTTTATGAAAGTAGATATACAGAAGATACGTCATTATATGTTACATAGCGACTGAATGTCATTTGTGTACAATGAACAGCAATTCTATGTTCACTTATCACTTCGGTGACAGGCCATTTTGGGTACCCCCACATCCTTCAGACACCTCTCAGTCAGTAACACAATATAGTGCATATGTAATATGTATTTAATTTCACTGCCATTTCATAATTTTTGAGAAAAAATGTCATTTATACCATAAAAAGTGCATATATTTTGAGTAACATCATTAAGAAAAGCAGTTACACCATTTTTCACGCTTAACGGAAAATGGCTGTTCTTCATCCATATGCTGTTTCATGATATTGTGTTCATTTTGGCATATTATGAGCAGTTTTTGTGTTATAATCATTTATATTTTTAATTAGACTCCAGATGATTTGCTTTTGCCTCTTTTTATGTCCCCACCACATAGTGTGGGGCCATATTGTCGGCCTAGGCGCGTTCATATGTCTGTCCGTACGTCCTGCAGTTTTCTCCAAAACCGCTACAGATATCACCTTCAAATTTTCAAGGATAACTTATGAGTGCTTACAGATGTGGATGGAAAAAATATAACTCGATATCTGCTTCCTGTCGGCCATTTTGAAGTCAAATGCTAAAATCCTTGTCTGCAAACTTTAAGAAAAATGGCTTCACAGTTGCTTTTAAAACTTTAACATCTTGTTCAGCTCACTTCATTCTACATCTGATTAGGTTTTGGACCTGTTAGCTCAGTCATGTCAGCCATTTTGAAAAGTTAGCGTGCGATAATACTTTGAACAAATATTTCACTCTATTGAGGTGAATACCTGTACATCTTTCACAAGTGATATTCCACGAAGCCCGAAGGGCAAGTGGAATATCACTTTGTGAAAGTGCTACAGGTATTCACCGAAAATAGAGTGAAATATTTGTTTTATTATATCACCGTCTAGCTAAACATCCCTAATATTATTAAGTCATTAAGTCTTCAGATATTTTTACGAATCTACTCGGTTCGTCTGCCATTTTGACTTACACTGAACTAAATTATTTACACTGAACGAAAACAAATTCTTTGAAAATTCCCGGGAGCGTGGGATATCGCTAGATATCTCACGGTTGTCTTATCTGATTAGCATTGCCATTGAATATCGACAGATATCCCACGACATGTGACCCAGTTTTGACCAATCATACTGTCGCTAGCTAGATAGTGATATAATAATGTATCATATTGAATGGTATTTTCAGTTTTCATACTTTAACTATTTAGTAGCTTTATAAATAATTTCAGGTGTACTTTGTTGTAAAAGCCTATGTTATTGTTAACAGTCGTTATATGTGATAATTTTGTAAAAAGAAATCAGCAAAAACTCACAATCACTTTTTTATTGTCGGCCATTTTGGATTTTTCCATCCTAAAATCTTGTCTGTAAAGTCTTGTCTAGGCGTTTTCAGGTGAACCATTTGGTAGATCAATTTCAAATTTTCAGGGATGATTCTTAGTATGTTAATCTAGATCTGAATAGTTTTTGGGCATTCTGGGTAAATGTCAAGGCAGCAATTTTGGATTTTCCGTCCTAAAATCTTGTCTGTAAAGTCATGTCTACGCGTTTATCAATTTTAGGAAATTTCACTTCCCAAAAATAAGCATTATAACAATTCAATTAAGTAGTAAGGTACAATTAAATGCCATAAAAAGTAACACAGCATATTGTCAAATGGAAATAAAGCTAGGGGAAGTAACAAATATGCAAATAAATTTACCCAATCGGCCATTTTGACTGGCACTTCCTATGTAAACAAATAATTATACAATCCCAAGTTTTAACATATGTATGTGGGCTATAGTCTGAATATTTGCATTCCAAATTTCAAAAAAAATCAAGACTAGAGGATATAGTCTATGAGAGACCGTAGGGTTGATATATTGTATTTACCTATAACACTACTAAGTATGGGATAATAACTTAAAAGAGTTCTAACATACATGTACATGAACACCGACATCATATTTGTTATATACTAGTGGGCCACTAGTAACTTATTATAATTTTCTTATAAACACATGTTATTGTTTCTCCAGATGATGCGTTATCTTAACTATCTGGGCATTGCTGTTGGCCTTCAAGCAAACCAGAGCATTGTTGAAAGAACAGACAAAGAAGAGCTTAAACAGGTGAGTATCAAATTAAAACATTTGTTGTCACAACAATAAGTGGTGACATATTCTTATGGTCCTCAACATTTTTCTGGACTGTGTTCTGCAGTTGCCGTCTGGCATTCAGTGTATGTAACAAATAGTTGGTGATGTCATTTTGCATATTAATCCCTTGTTTTTCATTTTCAAGGGCATTTGCATGTTACATGCAAAATTAAAAAAATTGTGTGAAAAAATGGGGCCAATTTCTTAAAAAAATAGTGCCCCAAATAAATATGTGTAACTTCACCAACACAATTGAAATCTCAAAACTGGATGCTCAGTAACTTTGAGTGACTATAATCCCTTGATTACCCAGATAAACAGCAATTCACTTATCCAGAAATACCATTCAATGTCAAGACAAAGAAAGTATGCAATGTTTTGGAGGATATGTTTCAAACCTTTTGTATAAATAATTCATTTAATATTTGCCATTGATTTTTTTTCAATTCTGACAAAGTGATATGCACTGTCTTTGATGCCAATACTCTTCATTAATTATGATACAAATTGATATTTTTGTACTCTCAGAAGAAGGATAAGATATTGAAGTTTAATAATATGTGTGATTGAGTTAGTTTTTCAGACATTACAATTTTCAATATTTTCTAAGTCGATACCCAGACTCATTCCCAGACTCATCCTTTTCCATTTTTCATTCTCCAGAAATGTGATATCCTGTTTCTTACTGAGGTCCTGAGTTTGGTTTTTCAAATACACAAGTTATTGTGAATTTGTTCCATCTTAAAGACATATTATATATATATTATAAGCTTTTTTACGCTTTGATACAATTATGACACTTTAAATCAGGCTCTTGTACAATTATCAAGCTCTGTTGTGCATTGTTACACTCTGTTAAGCTCTGTCGCACATTGGAAAATATCGAGATCGCCATTTCATTTCTGGCAATACATTTACATGTATTCTAGCCCTACCCTAGCCCTACCAATACCCATGATGCCATCTATTTTTCCATTTATATGGAAAAATGTCAATTACTCATCTACTTACTCAACTTGAACTTGTTCTTCTTTTTCAGTGGGATGAATTCTATTCAACCAAGGGGATCAAAAGGCCACGTAGTCCAGCAGAAGAGGAAGAAGAAAACAATGCAAATAAACAACAGAAGCTTGATCAAAGGTAATTTTTACAAACTTTTACATGTTTTTATACAATTGTTTTATGTTAAATATTTTTTATTAATAAACCACATACTTTTAAATAATATTTGCAGCGAGAGAGAAGTTTATGTACCTAAACTGAGCACAGAAGTTTATGATCGCTTATATCAACCCCATGGCTATGTCAAATCAAGTATCAAACCAAGTAGCGAAATAGTGTCAAGACGTAGTGCAAGAAAGTGTCAAAAGAAAATGTGAGTATAATATTATAACATTCCATGTTTACATGTACGGAGCCCTCATTATCCGGTCAGCGCTAAATTAGCGTTGCGATTTGCGTTGCGCTTGCGAATCAACATTATTCGCAAGCGCAAATCATGGTTTGCGTCGTATTACGCGCTTCACGCAGACGCAACGCAGACGCAACAGTATGCTAATCGCAAATAAATTGGAAACGCGGGAAATTTAAACTTAGAGCTCAAAATAGATTTATCGATTTTTTAATGTCTATGTATGTTTACGCCAGTGCGGATGTGTCAATCCCATACTTGGACGTGTTATAGGTAAGCCTACATAAAGCTGGTTTGTAATTAGAGGTTATGTCACTATGACGTGAAATATGCCTGAGTTCTCCCAATATAGGCCGACCTTGGGAGGCTCTATATTTGGGCAAGAACGAAGGCATATTTCACGTCATAGTGACATAACTGATGTATTACATGCCTTTGTTCCCATGGTTACGTTGTATCAATGACGTGACGTCATGATATTATCATGGTTATTAAAGAAATCTAATATCAAAACGAGGTAAGCGGGCTATATCGGGGTAATCGGGCAATATCGGTGGATATAGCTCGCTAACTTTCCCATTGACTTCCATACAAATGCTTCGCTAGGTATGTAATACAAACTTTTATTCCATACTTAGTAGTGTTATAGGTATATAACATGCGGGAATATAACTGATATGTGACGTGAGCGGGAGACATATATATCTACTGAGCCAGGGGACTTTGCTATTATTCCTAACAATCTACTAAGTATAGAATAAATCAGTTATTAAATGCTCGATTTTTGATACAGGGTATATCCCTCGGTAAATACAATATATCAACCCTCGGTCCCTACGGTCCCTCGGGTTGATATATTGTATTTCCCTCAGATATACCCTGTATCAAAAACCTCCCATTAAATAACCTCTATATATTTTCATCAGCGGTCAGATATAGCTATACGTCCCGCTCTGAGCGGGCAGATATAGTATATCTGCCCGCTGACGTCATAATCGCCGTTCGCATATTGGTTCATTTTTGTAACATGAGCATAATTACTGTAAACGATAATGGAGAAAAGGCAGACAATTGCGATCTGTTTGAAGGAAGGAAATGAGCGTATCCCTGTTAAACAAGGATTTCAGAAATAAATGTGGATGAATATCTGAAAATCAGGCTATTCTAAATGAATTCTTACGGTTGGTTGGACATTTTCTGAACTCCGGCCAATTGAACAGCGTGAACAAAATGACCAAGATTGGTATGGTATAAACAGATCATCCTATAGTTCAATATCCTGAACCTCATATATGATAATCTCTATTTATCCCATAATACTACTAATTCCCGATGAATAACCGGGAATATTTTTGATATTGAGAAAAATCGTATTGAAAATTTTTGCCAAACAAAGCTTCCTCTTTCAATCAGTTGGGTCGATATAGCATGCTAAAATGATGTTCTTATGTGAAAAACGAATTCCAGTTTTATCATCATCGCTCTGACACAGACAAAAATGCTTACGTATTGCTGAATGTTTTGATGTTGATGTGTTTATGTTACACATGTACAATAATTTTTTTATATTTAAAAATACCATAAAGCTAAGTCATATTTTCTTGATTAAATATACCATTTTTTCATAGAAAAATCTAACTAATGATTTTATGAAGACAGTTATGAATATCATGGAATAAAAGCTAATTTACTGGTCGGGATTAAATATGGGTTTATTCCTCATGACAATTTGATATTTCACATATTGTGAGGGACAATTTGGTATTTCACTCTGACCCTCCGGGCTCTCGGTAAATATCATATTGTCCATCATAATAAAACCCATATTGAATCCCTCAGACTACATAACCTATATATATCTTGCGAAAATCTAGATCTGTCACTGGAAGGCAGCCCATCTTGAAAACAAGACACGGTGTCTTTGTAATTAGTCCGACTGATATAGCCTACCTAGAGAAAACCGCCGATACCTCAGCAACAATGTTCGAAACAGTAGGTTGGGATACCCCGAATATATCTCCATTTATCATTTGCATACAACCTGTAGCATAAAATCGTAATGAAATGAATACTTTTAGCTGACATGAAATTGCCTGAGGATTCCTTGTTCTTGACGCTAGATCCCCATCTAATATATTAATCAACTCAAGAATGAGTGGCCTCGGCATGCGATATCTGTTTAATATCTCATCGTCAGTCATCTCTAACGGCTGACTCCTGTCTCTGAATAAGCGTAAACCTCTTCTATTGTGAACATCCTGGAATAATATGCGCCACATTTTCCAGCTTGATCGAACCCTAATATTTTAATTTTAGCAGACGATATTTGCGAAATGGAATTGCAATATTTATTATAGATTTCACAAAACCAAGGTAGCATAATCGTGCACTTTCAGACTTGATTTTGATAAGTTTTGGTTATTTGTGTCTCTAATGTTTTCAACCTATTTTTAGTTGGAGGTCTCAAAGGGCACTTCCTAGATTTCTACAACGATAATGTTAATTTAAATAGGAAAACTATCAAGATTCTTGATGATATGTTTGCGATTTATATTGCGGCAGGGTCAGGGGTGCCGCAAATAAAGTGGAGTTTGCGACATAAAAATCAACTGATTTACGTGGACGCAACTGTGCGATGACTGCATAATACCAATTTGCGTGCGGTTAGCAGTATATTTGCGATGCGAAATGAAAATAGCGATGCGTCTACCGTGTAATAAGAAAACTGCGATTTGCGCTAAAGACGCAAAACGGCAATGAATTTGCGCTAGAGTGCCTTTGAGATGACCTCATAATATCGTTTTGCGTACGATTCGCTAAATATTTACGTTGCGATTGCGATTTGCGGTGCGTCGACCGGATAATGAGGCCTCTGTACTCTATTTTAATACCATGGCTTTGTTGGGTTTGTTTTTTGTTCAAGAAACCTTGAGATTGAATACATGTATTTTGTTTTGTGGTATTATTTATAAGCTCACATGGTGAGCTTTTGCAATCACTCACTTGTCTGTCTGTCTGTCTGTCTGTCCGTCCTTCCTTCAACAATAGTGGCACGTTTTAAAACCTCTGTGGATAGGGTTCCTGTTTTAAGTTATTTCTGTTCAACATCGATACAGAAAACTCCCCTATGACTTTGGTTCAAAAGCTCGCCTATTTTCAAAATGGCCGCCATTTTTGTCTCGTGAAAATCACTTTTGGCCCATTTCCTAGCTTTACAAATAATTTCAGGTGTCCTGCATTGTAAAAATCCATGACAATGTAAAGAGTAGTTGTATGAAATAATTTTGTTACAAAAAGAGGCAAAAATTATATTTGTTTGTTTATTTTCAGCCAATTTAGTTAACATTGATTTGTCCATCTGTCTCACGAAATACACTTTTGGACCATTTGCCTTAAAACCTCTGTCGATAGGATTCCTGTTTTAAGTTATTTTTGCTCAACATCAATACAAAAAACTCCCCTATGACTCCTGGTTCAAAAGCTTGCCTATTTTCAAAATTGTCGCCATTGGCGAAATTCACTTTTGGCCCATTTCCTAGCTTTACAAATAATTTCAGGTGTCCTGCATTGTAAAAAGCCATGTCACTGTAAGGAGTAGTTGTATGAAATAGCTTTGTTACAAAAAATCTGCAAAAAATTATATCCATTCTTTTATTTTCAGCCATTTTAGTTAAAGGGGCTCTAGGACATAAAATGGTTAAAAAATACCTTTTTGCTGTTTCCTGGATCATTTTGGGCCTATTACCTTCCCCAACAAACCTATTTTGCATTGATACATGGATATGGCCTGAACGATGATCGTAAAATTCACAAACATCTTATTACTTTTCGAAGAATAAAAGTTACAAGGAACTTTTAAATTTTTTTCTAAAATAGACCGGAAGTGAATTTTCGAGTCGAGTAAATGATCTGATAATGTTCTTTTTCAAAGCATTACTAATAGAAATCATAATAAGCATTAGAAGAACATTTAGAAGCATTTAAAATCGAATCCACGGCAAAGTTTGAATAATTGAAATATTCACACGCGGACGTCACAGAACATACTTCCGGTATCGTAATCGATGATTTTATCAATCAAAAAATATTTTTTATCAATTTGTCCGATATCTGCTTAAATATGGTATGTATACTTGTGTTGATTGTTAAAATACAAAATAGGTAGGGTAAAGAATATGTCAAAGTCGTTTGATCTCGTCCGGGAAGCAATATTTTGTCATTTATGACGCCAAGAGAACCTTTAACATTGATTTGTCAATCTGTCTCTCAGTCAGTCCTAAATAGTGGAAAGTTTTAAAACCTCTGTCTGTCAACAATTGTCTATTTTTAAATCCTTTGTCAATAGGATTCCCATTTAAAAATATTTTTGGCCAACATCAATAAAGAAAGAAACCCTGTGACTCCTGCTTCAAAAGCTAGCCTATTTTCAAAATGGCCGCCATTTTTGTCTCACGAAATTCACTTTTGACCCATTTCCTAGCTTTGCAAATAACTTCAGGTGTCCTGCATTGTAAAAAGCCATGTCACTGTTAAGAGTAGTTGTATGAAATAATTTGCAACAAAAAATCTGCCAAAAATTATATCCGTTTTTTTTTATTTTCTGTCATTTTAGCCATCATCACTTTTAAGCAACACCATGTGAGCCCAGTACCCACGGTACTATTTTCGTTTTGATTGTTTACATGATTTCCTAAAACAGTAACGAAATCCAAATTGAATTGAACAAAAATCTGACAGTTTGAAGATTTATCTTAAATTGTGATAAATATGTATATTAACACATTTTGCAGATTTCCAGTTTCATCAAAATAAAGTACAGCATATACCCAAAATAAAACCAAGATACATTTTGAAGAAATCTCAAACATGCAAATTCTCAATTCTACTTCTGTATCTGAGGTACCTAGATGAATAAATATATGATTATTGAATTTAATAAAAATTTAGACACACATTTACATTTTCAAAAGCATAACCTTAATAGAATAGATAGAGTAGAATCTGGACATTATTTTAATTTGCATAACTATTAGATACATAATGGTGATATGAACATTGAACCACTAAAACAGATGTAATTTGAGTTAAAGAGAACTTTTTATTACTATACCCGCCATACAATCTGACCTGAACAAGCCACCTGGTGGTGAAACTGGTAACGACCTACTCACATCTGAGTTATTTTAAAAGACTAAATCTCTTTCTGTTTACATTAGTCTAGGTAAAGAATGGATGACTGGACACATATCTGATCGTAAACTGCTGCGTAACTCAGGAACCTCAGCAAAAAGGTAAATGAATGCGTTGGTCCACGATCATTCAGAAATAAAAGAGGAATTAACCTGTAGGTTGGCAAATAGTAAAGATAGAGTTCAAATGATACTCATTTGTTTATCCTAAAGTTCATGCAATGAAGACAAAATCATTTGCTTTTAACTCAAAAGTTGATGTCACCACTTCGAGTGTAACATACTGTTAACATCTCCAACTTATTTTTTCTTGATGGCAGTTTGCATTCAGTGTTTAGTGTTCAGTGGTTGGTGTTTGGCATCTGTAACAAATGGCATTTGGTGACATTTTGCATGTTCATGCCTTGTGTATCATTTACGTTAGGGATAAACTATAAGGGTTGGGTTTAAGGAGGAATGATAGCCGAGGCAGCAAAGCCACAAAATTGATTTCTTTTTTATTAACTATAGTAATAAAGAACCCAGAGACACATCTGCTCGACATATATCTGAAAAAAAAGAACCCAGAGACACATCTGTGCGACATATATCTGAAAATAAAGAACCCAGAGACACATCTGTGCGACATATATCTGAAAATAAAGAACCCAGAGACACATCTGCAAGACACATACTTTATAATAAAGAACCCAGAGACACATCTGCTCGACATATATCTGATAGTGAAGAACCCATAGACACATCTGTGCGACATATATCTGATAGTGAAGAACCCATAGACACATCTGCGCGACACATACCTTATAATAAAGAACCCAGAGACACATCTGTGGGACATATATCTGATAGTGAAGAACCCATACACACATCTGCTCGACATATATCTGATAATGAAGAACCCAGAGACACATCTGCAAGACACATACTTTATAATAAAGAACCCAGAGACACATCTGTGCGACAAATATCTGATAGTGAAGAACCCAGAGACACATCTGCGCGACACATACCTTATAATAAAGAACCCATAGACACATCTGCTCGACATATATCTAAAAATAAAGAACCCAGAGACACATCTGCAAGACACATACTTTATAATAAAGAACCCGGAGACACATCTGCAAGACACATACCTTATAATAAAAAACCCAGAGACACATCTGCTCGACATATATCTGATAGTGAAGAACCCAGAGACACATCTGCAAGACACATACCTTATAATAAAGAACCCGGAGACACATCTGCAAGACACATACCTTATAATAAAAAACCCAGAGACACATCTGCTCGACATATATCTGATAGTGAAGAACCCATAGACACATCTGCGCGACAAGTATCTGATAGGGAAAAACCAATAGACACATCTGCACAACAAATATCTGATAATGAAGAACCCATAGACACGTCTGCAGAGCAAATATCTGATATTGAAGAACCCATAGACACATCTGCAAAACAAATATCTGATAGTGAAGAACCCATTGACACATCTGCACGACAAATATCTGATAGTGAAGAACCCATAGACACATCTGCAGAGCAAATATCTGATATTGAAGAACCCATAAACACATCTGGACAATACATATGTGACAACGAAGAACCCAGAGACACATCTGCACAACTCATATCTGATAACGAAGGACCCACAGACACATCTGCACAAAGGTAAATGGTGATTAATGTTGGTTCAATCCAAAAATATTTTAAAATAAAAGAGGAATTATCATGAAAGCTGTTAGAAACAGTGAAACCTCTAAATGGTATACCTCTAGAAGTAGAATGCCTCTGTTAGTAACAGAGTTTTCAGAGCCCCAAGACCAACTGATTTAACGTTAAATGAACCTTTATGAGTGGCACAGCTCCTAATTGAAACAAATTTTAGAGATATCAAAGGTGTGCCACGTACTTAGACAATTTTTATCCCATCGCACGAAGTTCGGAGGGATATAGAGAACGCCTCCATCCGTCCATTCATATGTACATACGTCTGTCCGTCCGTCCGGGTAATAACTCAAATACCATTGGCCCGATTTTGTTCATATTTTGTAAACATATACCCTATGGAGGTAGAAGTTCTGTTCAGAAGCCAATTTTCAAAATGGCTGCTCATTCAAAAATGGCAGCCATTTTAGTGCCGATTTTACAGTAATTTAGGTAGAATATGTAAAACTGTAATAGCAATATGTTTTAAATGTAAAAGATTATATAGGACATTAATAAAGCTAGAAATGTAGATCTGAAAGAAGCACATGGCAGCCATCTTGAAAAATGGTGGCCTTTACTAGTTATTATCCCATCGAACGAAGTTCGGAGGGATATAGGGAACGCCTCTGTCCGTCCATCCGTCTGTCCGGGCAATAACTCAAATACCATTGGCCCGATTTTGTTCATATTTTGTACACGTATACCCTATGGGGCTAGAAATTCTGCTCGAAAGCCAATTTTCAAAATGGCCGCTCATTTAAAAATGGCGGCCATTTTAGTGCACATTTTACAGTAATTTAGGTGCAATATGTAAAACTTTAATAGCAATATGTTTTAAATGTAAAATAAATTATATAGGGCATTGATAAAGCTAGAAATATAGAAATTATAGAAGCACATGACAGCCATCTTGAAAAATGGTGGCCTTTGCTCATTATTTTACGATTTTTGCTGTAACTCAAGAAGTAGTGGAGCGATTTTGTTCATATTTGGTATGTGAATACTATAAGCATGGCTCACTGTCTAATGACACTTTTGGTAGGAGGCAGCCATTTTGAAAAATGGCCGCCATTTTAACATATTTTACTATAACTCAAAAAGTAGTGGAGCGATTTTGTTCATATTTGGTTTGTGAATGCTATAAGCATGGCACACTGTCTAATGTCACATTTGGTAGAAGGTGGCCATTTTGAAAAATGGCCGCCATTTTAACGTACTTTTCTATAACTCGCAAAAGTACTGGAGCGATTTTGTTCATATTTGGTATGTGAATAATATAAGCATTGCTCACTGTCTAATGACATTTTTGGTAGAAGGTGGTCATTTTTAAAAATGGCCACCATTTTAACGTATTTTACTATAACTCGAAAAGTGGTGGAGCAATTTTGTTCATATTTGGTATGTGAATACTATAAGCATGGTACACTGTCTAATGACACTTTTGGTAAAAGGGGTCCATTTTGAAAAATGGCCGCCATTTAAACGTATTTTACTCTGCCTTTACTCATTATTTTACGATTTTTGCTGTAACTCGAAAAGTAGTGGAGCGATTTTGTTCATATTTGGTATGTGAATACTATAAGCATGGCACACTGTCTAATGACACTTTTGTTCGAAGGCAGCCATTTTGAAAAATTTCCACCATTTTAAAGTATTTTACTATAACTCGAAAAGTAGTGGAGCGATTTTGTTCATATTTGGTATGTGAATATTGTAAATAAAAGGCATATTACTTCTTCTGCTGACAACTTGGCTAGTGAGCAACCATTTTGAAAATGCTGGCCTTTCTTATGTGTGTTATTTTATGATATCTGCTATATATTTCGTTTGTAAAAATGCCAGCCATTTCTGTTCGATGGGATTCGCTACGCTTTGGCGTTGCCGTTGTTCTGGTTTTACAATTTTTGCTGTAACTCAAAAAGTAGTGGAGCGATTTTGTTCATATTTGGATGTGAATACTATAAGCATGGCACACTGTCTAATGACACTTTTGGTAGAAGGCGGCCATTTTGAAAAATGGCTCCCATTTTTGCTATATCCTTTTTTTTGTAAAAATGCCAGCCATGGCTGTACGATGGGATTTGCTACGCTTTGGCGTCGCTGTTGTCTAGTTTCTGTAGTCAACACCAAACCTATGAAGGTTATTTTCATCTTTTTCATATTTTATGATTTGCAAAAAGAATAAATGGTAGGCTACTAAGAGTTGTTCCACTTCTTGACTCTTGAGGTGTTCCACTTTACAGGTTCCACTGTATTAGAACAACAACTTTTGTTTGTCACCTTTCGACAATTTTAAATCTTTCCAATCCTGTGGTTTTATGCAAAACGATAATGTCTCAAACAGCTAAGTTCATTAATCGTTAATTCAAAAAACGAATTGGAATTGTGCCAATTAATTGTACACCTCACTGATGTTTTTACTTTCTGTCGTGCTGCATTTTGTAATGGAGTTGTATTTTGTAGTGAGTTTAAATCCTAAATTCTGTAGCATTAAACTTAGTATTAAAGCTTAATATCACAGGTAGCGAGGTAGGTATCGAAGGATTTGTCCGCTGTGACGGAGCATGATATTTTTCATTAAACACTAAGAAAACTTAACAATTTATTTTTTAACTCTTATATTTCATTATACCAAAGACGATTACCTACTCCATGCAATGGGTATAACATTTGCAGGCAATCTTCACTTCTGTTTGAAGTCCAATAACACCAGGTGTAAGAGCTATTGAAAATGACGAAAGAGCATCATGCCCTAAAATGTTCCATTTCTTTCTTAACTTTTTAAAGGCACGATAAAATGACACCATGATATTTATATATGTTATCAGTGTAAATCTGAGGGTATTGATAAGATCTGAATGTATGCAGTCTTTTTAAGTCTTTTTTTTTCAAAAAAATTTATGTTTAAATTTTTTGTCCGCTGTGACTGAGCAGTTTCAAACGTGAACTATGTTAAGAAATTAAGAAAAAAAAATTGATGTTTAAATTTTTTGTCCGCTGTGACTGAGCAGTTTCAAATGTGAACTATGTTAAGAAATTAAGAATTTAAGATTCATTGTATGATGAGAGGTGTCAAACCTCTTTCCCAATTATGACAAGTACAGTATTCCCCTAAAGTGTTGTTAAATATATTTTATAAATCAATGTATCTCACATTTGAAACTGCTCCGTCACAGCAGACAAAAAATTTAAACATTTATTCTTATGAAAAAAATTAAAAAGAACAAATACATCCAAATCTCATTAATACCGTCAGAGTTATGCTGAAAACATGTGTAAATATTCCCATGTCACTTTATTATACCATTAAAAAGTTAAGAAAGAAATGGTACATTTTAGATTATCATACTCTGACGTCATTTTCAATAGCATTTACTCCTAGCGTTATTGGACTTCGAACAGAAGTGTAGGTTACTCACAAATAATATATATCCATTGCATGGAGTAAGTAATTTTCTTTGGTATAACGAAACATATGAGTTAAAAAATAAATTGTGAGTTAACTTAGTGTTTTTAAGAAAAATAGCATGTTCCGTAACAGCGGACAAATTTTTCGTATATACCCTTTACAATTTTATAATATATTGATATGTAATGTTATGACTTTTCTGTTGTAGGAACAATAATGTGAACAGCGATGTTTTGTATCCTGAGGAAGACTTTTTTCAGACTTTGGTTGAAAGTGATGATACTGACGCAGTGTACAGCGGTATTTACACTTTCTATATTTACTTTTTGAAGCATATTGGTGTACCTACTTGTGTGAAATAGAGGAAATGTCTTATTTCATAAAAAGGGCCTTTAGTAAAGAGAGGACTCAAGGAGGATTGGAAGCCGTTATTCAAACTCGATACTCCGTTGCCCGGCATGGACCAATTTAGTAACAATGTTACTCATATTTTAAAAGACAGGAACTGCCAATGAAACTTGAATAATACAATTAATATTTGTAATATATGTATTTTAACAAAATACTTGGTTCTAAAGGAATTTTAAAGAAATATTTTTACTAAATTGTTCCACTCCGGGCAACAGAGTATCAAGTTTGAATAATGGCTGCCAATCCTCCTTGAGCAAGACTTGAAATGCCTTCATGGAAAATGCCTCCATGCATCCAGGCTTATTGAAACTACTGTACTCCCACTAATATTTGACGTTATAATATTTCGCGTTTTTGGCATTTTGAAATTTCGCGGCTATTATATTTCGCTAATTTTCAGTTTTTTGAAATTTCGCGGCTATTAATCTCCTCGGATTTGTCATACAGGATCACTCTTTTGACTTTGATATCAGTCATGGTTGTTCCTGCTACCAATGATTTTGGCTTCTTATTAAGCCTTTTCGTTAGAATGTTCGTTTTAATACAGTAATAATGATCTCTCTTCTAATTTCTCTTTTTCAAACTCAAAATGTCACGTTTTTACCTATTATCGCCCAGCACTGGATGAAAATATTGTCAACATTGAAATCCCCAGGAATTTCCTTGGAATTTCGCGACTATCCAATTTCGCGAATTAAAACTGGGGGAATTTCGCGGCTATTATATTTCGCGAATTTTCCAAAAGTTGTGAAAAGCACAAAATATAGTAGCAGGAGTACAGTATTTTAAATGAAACGATCCCCTTATATTAAGTATGCTGAACAAAAGTCCTTTGTAAATGCCCCCAAATGGACTTTGCTGCCTCTTTAGTACAAGTAGTCAGTCAAAATTTTCTGACCACGTACTTTTACTTTTCTTATAATCTCTAATAATTTGCAGAAGTGTTACGTATATAAACATTGTCTTTCAATTCAATATTACACAATGCACATTTGCTGAAAATTTAACCTAGTCACATGGTTGAGAAATTAGGAAATGGCAGAATTTATGATGTATGTTGACATGTTTTTTAGAATATTATAGAATTGAGATGAAAATGATAAGGTCAGAATTGTACTTGATGTAAAGTTCATTAATTCTGATATTTTCTTATGTTTTCAGGCGATGTAATTAAATTACTCTCAGAAATTGATGAAACAGTCGCTGAATCTTACTATTACTGAAAGTGATGGTACTGTCATATTTTACAATGGTATGAGCACTTTTATATTTACATGTAGTTTTTGAAGCATAATGGACAATGGTGTTCATGTACCTACTTGCCTGACAAAGTCTTGGGACGGTCTTATTTCCTAAAAGGGCCTTTTACCTAATTAATTTTTTTAGGAAAAATATAGAAATGTCACCCACATAAAATTATGAATATTCAAAAGAGGACATTTTGATCTACAATTATACAAAAATATCAAAATGAACCATATTGAATTCTCTCCAATATGCTTTATTCCATTAAAATCGAGCCATTATTGACTGTGTTATGAATTTTTAAAGTTGTCAGGTTGTCACTAATCGCGTTCTCTTCACGAATTTGAGAGAAAAACAGATTTTTTCAAAAACTACTCTATGAAATTTTTTTTGCATATTCCTAAATGTTTATGCACACAGTGGTATCAGAATTATGATGATACTTTTAGATATAAAATTTTAGATATACATGTAAGTTTTCAATTTCACTATTTCAATGTTTGTGCCATTGCTTAGTGGTTGCTAGGCAACATCCAACAGTACCAAGTTCTACATTCATACATCTGCATACTAAATTAATGATTGGCATTTGTTGTACATCTTGAAATATATATGCTAAAGACAAAAACAAGTTGAATTTGAAATTGCTGATGATTCAATTTCATTTTACATTGATTTCGATGGGATTTCGTGATACCTGCTGTATCTTTGAAAGTTTTCTAGAAAAGCTTTTACCATGATTTTAGTTTTATTTAAAAGATAATAGATAATTCTTTAAAGGCAGCGAAGCATTTTTTGGCACAAAAAATTTATTTTGAAAGAAAATTGACAATTTGTCACAAAATGTCAAAAAATTACACCCCCTAGGTTGTGTTGACCTGACCTATATTATTGACCTATTTTTCTAAGAATGAAGAAAATAAAACCTTTCCAAAGAAGTAATTGAATAAGGTTTACAACAATACCAACAATAATGAAATCAGACAAGTAATAAAAAGTTGGAGAGGGGCGGGATTCCAAATGACCCCCTCCCTGTGACTTAGTGTTTTAAAAATGGTTGCAGACATTAGGATTAACTCTGATATTTTTATATTTTTCAGGAAAAGTACCTGGATTACTCTCAGACGCTAATGAAGCAGCCATTGCATTCTACTCATTGATAGAAGATGGTCAGGAAAATGTTTTAGATTTAGAGGACGTTATCTCATCTTATTCAGCATGTTCAGGGACTTTCGATTTTGTGACATGAAATAAGACATTTTGACCATAAATGCTAGTATACTGTAATCATCAGTCTCACATGAATATTATACAAATGTTTCATTTTATTTGGGTGAATACTATACTCTAGGTATATTTCAGGTTTGATTTAGTTTCATGTTTTTTGAGGTCAGGGGTATTCATTGAAAAGAGAATGAAATATTTGTTTTATTATTATTTATAGTTATATTACTTTCAAGCTTACGATCATCCATATTGTTTATCTATATGTTCAAAAATTGATTAAAATATTTTGAATATTCACCAGTTTTCTAAATTCGGTATGACCAGTGATTATAGCTTAATCTATCATGACATGTGACCAGTTTTAACCAATCATTCAATCAGTGCTACTGAAAATATTGGATTTACTGTATGTACCAAGATAAAAATAAATAAACAAGGCACAGACGTGAACAATATCGTACCTAAAACACAGCAGTGTGACAGTGAAGAATTTAGGACGGAAAATCCAAAATGGCCACCTTAAAATTTACCCAGAATGCCCAAAAACTAATCAGTTCTTAACTTTGATACGTAGAAATATCCCTGAAAATTTCAGATGAATCCATCAAATGGTTTGGCTGGAAACCTGTAGACAAGTCTTGAAAGTGAAGATTTTAGGACGGAAAATCCAAAATGGCCACCTTAAAATTAACCCAGAATGCCCAAAAACTAATCAGTTGTTAACTTTGATATGTAGAAACATCCCTGTAAATTTCAAATGAATCCGTCAAATGGTTTGGCTGGAAACCTGTAGACAAGTCTTGAGAGTGAAGATTTTAGGACCTAAAATCCAAAATGGCCACCTTAAAATTTACCCAGAATGCCCAAAAACTAATCAGTTCTTAACTTTGATACGTAGAAACATTCCTGAAAATTTCAGATGAATCCGTCAAATGGTTTGGCTGGAAACCTGTAGACAAGTCTTGAAAGTAAAGATTTTAGGACGGAAAATCCAAAATGGCCACCTTAAAATTTACCCAGAATGCCCTAGAGTTCCTCAACTAAATAATGCCCATATGTCTCAAGATATTTATTTATTTCTTTTGTGAACATTTCAACAAGATTGACTGAGAAACTAAAATTTAGAGTACTTTTGCACAAACTTTATGTCCAAGCTTTTTGTTAAAATGATTTACGATCCACATTTCCGGGCCACATTTAAAGTTTCACAATTATGCAGATGCTATGAAGAGATTTAAGAGGACGAGATGAGCTATATTGGTGTGCAGTGTGACTGACCATGAATGATGTAGCTATTTCGAATCATTGGGCTACACAAAAACTGAGCGTAGTGTTGTCAAAATCAAGTATTTTAAGTCCAATGCGTTACATTTAAATTCTAAGTGCATTTGATTAAAGGGGCAACAAGGGCTGTAGAGAGAAAATTCGAAAATTTTTACTTTTTCTTAGCTATAAAGGCAACATTTGGCAACATCTTCTTTGACATATCTATTTTCTTAAAATGTGTGGATAAACTATCAATTTTAGCTTTTAAGAAGTGTAAATTCAGTTCAAAGCTTGGTAAAATGGAAAAAGCAATAACAAAATTAACATAACATAATTTAAGAGACAAGAAAATGAAATTAAAAAAAAACATTGGAAAGTAAAATAAAATGATGGGATTATAGACAAGACTGTAAAGACTAAACCATTTAACCGAGTATATAACACAAGGGAAAAGAATGACAAAAAGCAAAGCCAATGACAGATGAAGACGAAATGAAGAATAAGAATTGCCATGTCGCTAATGTAGCATACCAAATCATTCTTCTACAGTCTACAGATAAGGTCTTCTGAGCCTGGAGGCTCTGTTCCCAGGGAAGCAGGTGTAGCTAAAATTGGCCATACACGGGACACAGTGGTTTGATATGGCACATAGGTGAGGTATACCTCATGGCTAAGAATAAAATAAATATCAAATAAGAACAAAGAGTTAAAAGAATAAAGATATTCTCAAGCTAACATTACAGGCAGCAACCCGAAGACGTCCGTCAACAATTGTGGCACATTTTAAAACCTCTGTCCATAGTATTCCCATTTTAATTATTTTTGTTCAAAATCAATACAGAAAAAAACCACGACTCTTAGTTCAAAATCTCGCCTATTTTCAAAATGGGCGCCATTTTTGTCTCGCAAATTTCACTTTTGGACAATGCATTTGGTTGCTTTGTAAATAATTTCAGGTGTCCTGCATTGTAAAATTCAATGTCAATGTAAAGAGTACTAATTATGATATAATTTTGTTACAAAAAATCGCCAAAAAAGTATATAAATTTTTCAGTTTCAGCCATTTTAGTTAACATTGATTTCTCCATCTTTCTCTGTCAGTCCACAATAGGCCTAATGGCGCGTTTGTACCGAACCCCATATTATAACCGATGCGCATTGTACCGAAAGGCGTTATACCGAATGCGATAATACCGACGCACATTATAGAGTTTTCCTGAGTGTGAATTATCTGGGCGTAACATTTAAGAGTCAATGCAAGCGCAACTTATTTGATAGAAAAATTAGCGATCGAACACATATTTTTATTTGGAGTAAAATATGAGACCGTTTTTAAGTGTTGATACATGATATCCATTAATTAGAATTGACGAAAATCCTTACAAACGAGAGAACATGTATTTTGAGACTAGAACAACCTGTCATCAGAGATAGAAAAGCCGCCCATTCGTTCGTCTGTTTGTCCGTCTATTTATTCGGAAAACAACTCAATCTGTCAATAGTTTATAGAAATACGCATTGTGGCCATAGGACGTCTAATTTAGAACAATCCTCGAAAGTGGAAGCCATCATATAGTATAAAATAAAGTTGCCGCCACAATTCTAACATTTATTCCGTGTTGTCTAGCTTTTAATTCAAGGATCCTTTCTCGAGGATAGAAAAACGGGATAAAAATGAAAAAAAGAATTGAACTGAAAATAAATGTAACGCATATTAGATGATGAAATATTTTCACGTACTGACAACATTGACGTACATTTTTATGATTGGAAATACCTAACCACATATACAACACTCAACGCACCATTGGGAAGCTTATCTTGTCTTGTTTAGTCTCCTTTCTAACAGAAGTGTGACTTTCAACGACTTTTTGTGATTTTTTAATAGATACGTAAAAAAATACCGACTTGGGCAAGGCTACGTTCTTACTTGTCATTGACATTTTAGATGTGAAATGTTTGTTTTTTGTGTTTTTGTTATTGTCTTAAATTTTTAGATGTGTTTTTGTGTTGTTGTTTTTGGTTAATTTTCACTGTTGTGTTAAATGTTCAATATTTTTGTACTCCATACTAAATGGGAAATAAAGATATATATATTTATATTATAGATGACTAAACATTTTTTGCTGACTGACAATATTAGATTTGATTTGAAATAGCGACCCACATGTACATCAAACCATTGGGAAACTTATTTAGTGTTCTTTAATCTCATCCATAACAAAATCGAATCAAATCTTCAGGGACTGGGAAATTAAGTGTTATGCACAGAACTTTAATCACTTAACGAAATAAATCTATTTTGATCCAAACTAAACTTGAATAATAAATAAGTGACACATTTTTGCAGTCTTAGGATTTTTGCAGTATTGAGTTTCCCTTCTTTGATGTAGCTTATACTAGATTAGTATTATGTTGCTATTTCTTGCCTGGTCTTCCTGATTAAATGTGCATGATTTTCAAATATATTTATCATACTCTTCTACGCTTATCATGCATTTTCAATTCCATTACAAGCCTTTTTTACATCACAAAATCATGGTGTCGGACTGCAATAGTTTTCGGTTCAACGCGCACGGATTTCGGTACAACACGCATCGGTATATTGGTTTTCGGTGCAATGCGCGTCGGTATCTATAGATTGGTTTTCGGTACCGAATGCGCGTCGATATAATGAGGTGATCCCATGACAGGCACTGATACCACACTTTTTGCTGTTGAAGAAGGGTGTATGGGATTCCCTACTACTTCCCTTCGCTCACTTCTCCGCTCACTATGCCTGTCCCCCTCTGATCTCAAGTGTGCCACTAAATCTATTGGGAGTGCGGCAAGGTCCTGCTCCAGATGGCTGTGGCTGAAGCCACATTTTCAGCCATTTAGTTATAAGCTTATTTATTTGGGCAACCTTTTTTCAGTTTTTGATTAGAAGTCCATGGTGTAGGCTTGGAATAAAATGGTTTAGTGTTCCCAGGTGTAACCTAGGCCTAAGCTTAATTATAGGTAAGTGAGGGCTTAGAGTCAATGACTGTACATGGTGTTTCATTATGACCGTCCTCCCCCCATCAACCACCAATCCTGAATAGCATACCCCCATGTGTTATATATCATATGAAAGCTTGGTCAATTCTGGACTTATTGAATCAACTTTGATTAAGCTTAACATTTTTTACAACTTGCTACATATCTCTATAAAAGGTACCCATTTTACCTTTAGCAAAGAATCTGAAAGCCACATTTTTTCCAACATTAGCCATGTACCCTGCAAACAGCTATGATAACCATGCCTCAATAGTCAATACACTATTGGGTATAGTAAATGTACAACTTCCAACATTTGATGGATGTTGATGATATATCTTGATGATATTTGAAAGATAAAAATATTAAATAGTTCAAAGAAATGCCCAGAGAGCTCTAAATGATACAATGGATAATAATATGGCGATCTGCTTTTCTCTTTAAATCCATCAGGAATAGTAGCCACAAATCATGCAAATTGAGGGGATAGTGGCTACAAAATATAAGTTCACAAATTATGTTCTCAAAGACCAGGCATTCTAATATTTGGCACATAAGTCCAGAATTACCCAAATGCGAGTAGGTAGTTACCAGTTTCACCACCAGGTGGCTGATTCGGGTCAATTAACATGGCAGGTATATAAGAAAGTTCCCTTAAACTTGAATATTATCAATTTAAGTGGCTCAATTTTAATATAACCCTTATGTGTCTGATACTTATACTAATGAAAATATGTCCAGTAAAGCAAAATGTTATCTGTCCACTAAAATAAAAGATATTTCATTTTTTGTGATTTTATAGCATGGGGTCTATGGGGAATCTCCCCGAGCTAGAAGTCACATTTTCAAAGAAAATTAATTTTTCAAAGTTGATAAACACTTTTTAAAACCACATTTCTAGAAGCAATTTTACATGTAGATTTCAAATATGATATTACTTTGACTGAATTTTGAATTTTTAATGACGTAAATCAAGATTATTTCTACTCGCATCTGGGTTATTGAATACGCTTTATTATGGTATATAGATTATGGGGGCATGTCAAGTAGGATTGCCTGTGGATGGGGGGACGGTCATTATGAAACACATATAGCAAGAATTAAAAGTTCATGTCATTATCAAGCGGCAGAACCAAACTTTCACATTATAACTATCCAGATTACTTTCCAAATTGTTTAAATACACGGAGAAAGGGACCCGGGGAAAGGGAAAGGAGATAGAACTTCATTATCATTGTTTAAGGCCACATTTAAACTTCGCGGTTTAACAATGGCAAACTTTATCTGAAAACGAAACCATGACCAGGTCATGCATGTTTAACTAAATTTGATCATTTAGTCCAATCTTTTACCTTCAATAATATTTAATAAATCATCATCCATATATCTGATATATTATACTAGAATATTATCCTAGTGCCTATAACTTTACGACTATACGATATAAGTTCGTTTCAGGGCACCATTAACCTCACAGTTGTAGTTCTAGACTTCTGCAGTAACGAAAATTCATTTCTCGTGATATTTTGTAAGTTTTGCCATTTTTTGCCTGTTTCTATGCCATTTATGTAGAACTTCATATTTCCTTATATTGCAGGCATATCATGGGTTACTAAGTTGAGATCTAGGGAATGATCGTTTAGAGCGTAAGGCACTTTTCAGTCGAGATATAAATTTTAAAATTCACTCAATCAAACTTTGATTCAAAATCAAAGTCAAATTGATTTATTTATTTTCAATTTTTGTTGAATCTCACTCATATTGACTCAGATCAGAGTAAAACTACGAGTGGGATTCCAGGACCTGATGACTTGGTGATGTTTGTAGGCGAAGGCTATTTCGCCTAGTGTTGCCATTCAATATCTGTGAGTGTGTGTCTTCATTGGCAGGGGGGGAGTTACTTTATTTGCACATAGCCATCTTTAGATAGATGGCTATGCATATCTTGATGTAAAAATGTAAGAAATCTTGGAAACATACTTCAATCGATGCATAACATTCTAAAGTATCGTTTTTCTAATCATATCAGGCTATCTGGAGTCGGGAGACAGTGTAATTGACGAAAAATGTATTCGGAACTTGTTATTTTCCATGTCGTCTGACCAGGAAGTCTTGCCAATGCGCATGCATGTAACCGGAAGCAGAAATCTCATGACATGGAAGTGCATTACCAAACTTCCTGAGACGCCATCTTGAAAATGATCAACTCTTCGACATTTTTCGTCAATTACACTGTCTCCCGACTCCAGAGAAATTGAAGCTTCTGCCAGTCTTCAGACCACTGTGCCAGGGCTACGAGATCTTTCTGTAGGTCCTCACAGCCTTTAATAGTTTAGTTCTTTGAATAGCTTGGTATCATCAGCGAATAAGTTTACTGTGTTGGTTACATACTCTGATATATCCTTGACGAACATGAGAAAAAGTACTAGTCCTAACACAGTTCCTTGGGGTATACCCGATATAACGTCTTTCCATCTTGATTCCATGTCATTGATGATGACTTTTTGTTTCCTTTATTTATGTGTACACCTGTACTTGGTCCGTTTTGGGAATCGTCCTCAGTGTTACTATCGTCATCCTTGGTAATTCGGTTTATGTCTCCCTCGTTTCTCGCACCCAGGAAGTCTTTTATCTAGTCGAGAGTTTTTCCTCCTATTCCCTGACTCGCTTCTTTCCTTATTAATAGCAGATGGGGCACAGTATGATCAAACGCTTTTCTAAAGTCAAGATAGATAATGTCCACATTACTACCTAGTACCTTCATCAAGGATTCTGGAATACTATTATAGGGCTTCTAACGTTGTAAGTAAGTTTGTAACACATGATTTACATGGCAGAAATCCATCCTGACATCCTGCTTGTTTGAGGCCAGGTGGTTAATAGCATGTTCCCTTATGTTGGATTCCATCAGTTTACATACAACAGATGTCAAACTTACTGGTCTGTAATTAGTCGGTCTATCTTTTTTCCCCTCCTTGTGTATTGGTGATATGTTTGCCTGCTTTATTTATGCACATTTTTGTTCTCTAGTTCCATATTCCAGTCTATGTTCATGTCATCTCGCATAGCCTCATAGTCTGCCTTGTCCAGGAGATGTACTGGTGCTTCATTAGATCTATGATCAATTACTGGCTTGAAGTTGAAGGAGTACCTGGTGATCACTCTTGCCAAGTCCAGCTGATGTTGTTACATTATGTTATTCAATGGGAGAAATTTATAAGGAGAAATATAAAGTTGTTCTTCAATAACAAAGCGGATATCAACAGTGTCAATTATCACCCACACTGAATTTTGATTAATAGAGTTAATAGACTAATCATTGTGTTACTGTCACCTCAGGTGGTTGTAGTACAACCTTTGTCCACCTAGTACAACCTGTACTATGTGGATAAAGTATACAGTATTATTTTACCACATATGTCACCTATTTCAAAGTCTATATGTCTGGTAGCATAGTAGAACTTCATTATTTGACATAATAAACCTCATCCATCAAGAGTTGTCACAGTGAGCTAAAGTTTTATGTTGCAAACTCTCCCAAACAGTCCTGTAATTCCTGTTCACTCGAAGTAGCACTTTTATAAATGAATCCAAGGCATTATACCTTCAAATGAGGGATAGATTCCTACAAAATCTGACGCATGTCTTCATGTATCACCATTGTTCTGATCCAAGGGGATGGCTCCCAGAGTGCAACAGCGATATTCTGCCCCAAATATCATATCATGACCTTTAACCTTATTAACAAGTGACATGTTTCAAACTGGTGGAACTGCATTTTGAAAGCTGTTATGTTGCATTCTGTCAATCCTTCTTGCGGTGTAATTAGGCTCCAAAATCTTCCCAACATTCACTTCAAAGGATGATTCTCGGTTTGGAGAACGAAGTCCATCAATTTAAATGAGGATTATCCCTGCTTCGGACAAATTTGATTTTTTTACATAATATAGATTTGAATGTCTTCTTTTGAATAGTCATAATTTAATTTGAGTAATATTTCTAGATTTTTCGCAAATAAATATTAGCGCAGTATACTGATGAACTTTTTTCCCCAAATCGAGACTTCTATTTTATTGAATCGGTCTAATTGAGCGTTATCCCTGCTTCAGACCAATTTGTTATTTTTATATCTTGTAGATTTAAATGTCCTCTTTTGAATATTCATAATTTAATTTGGGTAATATTTCTATATTTTTCATGAAAAAAATGATTAACCCAGGAGACTGTTCTCCAAACCGAGAATCGTCCTTACTAAGTTCTCAACAGTCATTATGAGCACAAATTCCACTATATTTGTACTTTCCAGGACGGAGACATCTTCCGATAATATATTCTTTCTTTTTACCCCCTGCGATAAGCAGTTAGCATTTCCCGATTAATAACTCGCAATATGATTGACTGTCGCAACACTGCGACAGAAATCATGTATAAGTCATTGCATCACTTGATTCAGTTTAATCGGGCGCTTCCAAATTGGTTATAGCAGGGGGAAGAAGGAGGTACGGATTCTGCATACTGTACTCCAGATAATGTTTGCGTGCGATTTAATTTCGCTTTGTTCGCGAATGTAGTAAAATCGCAAACATTTATCGTCGCAAAATTTTCTTAAATCCCCGGGGATTTGACCCGGGCCTTTTGATATGTTTCGTTTCGTGTGAAACGTTTCTTCCAGTGTTGTTGAGCGAAGGCCTAAAAACATTTTGAATTGGCTTATTAGGCCAACAAAGGCAAGAACTGTTGACGACAATGATATCCTACAAATTGAAGTTGAAAAAGCAATTCAAGAATATTCAAATAAATGCCCTAAATGTGGGAAATACAAACATTATTCGTATTCTGAACGGGCTAAATAGCCCGCATTGATTCACGGTAATCGGAAAAAATTCAACTTGTGCAATCTGCGAAATGTCATCAACTCAAATCCGCGAAATTAAATAGCCGCGAAATTGCAATTTTGAAAAATCACGAAATTTTATAGCGTCGAAATTTACCCGGAGTACAGTACCTGCTTAGGAGGATGAGATGGAGAAAATAGAACACCTAATTAAGAATGTATCTTTGATAGTGTTAGTCCTTACTCATGAAAATGACTGTATACTGAATTCAGCTTCTTACATTATTACTCCAAATGTTCTGAAAGATCTGAACAAAGAAAAGTTTCAAAATCCATTTCAATTCCATTTCCATTGCAGGGTTCTCACCAATTTTAAGACCCCGGATTTTTAGCGGTATTATGACTACTTTTTTCGCGGTATCGCGACTACTTCTCCCCCATGTGAGATCAGAGATATCCTAGTAGTATACTTTTCAACATAATCTTAAGATTGTCTTGCTATTTTAATCCCAATATTTATTATTTCTAAAAAGTTTCTGACTTCCTATTCCTTGTTTGTATCCAGTTTAATGTATTTTCTCAAGAGTTTTACCGCAAATAATGTGACAAAAATGTAAAATTAGACTCCGGAAAAAACACTTTAGACTCCTGAAAAGCTATTAAACTCTGGAGCAAGAGGGTTTTAAGACATTAGACTACGGAGAATTTGCGGAGTCTAAAAGCCTAGTGAGAACCCTGCATTGTGTTCTTTACTTACTTTGAGAAATTAATGGTAACAACATATTTTTTCCTTTTCAGATTATGCATGATGGAGTCTGGTTGTACATCAAATCATTCACCATCAGTTCAGTCTCAAACAGACACAAAATGCATGGAGTGTGAAACTATCTTCGTTAAAAAGAAAAAAGGATTTAAGAGAAAATCACTAAAAAGTCTAAGAAGCTCCACTAAAACACAAGATTGGGCAGAGGACTTATTACAGAGAGGTGGAGATCCTCGCAAATCATTTGTATGTCAGGAATGTATTACTAAATATATTACCTATTACAATCAGGCGTATGGTATGACACTAAACTCTCCTTCATTACCTCCTCCTTCCCAATCAAATGAAGAATCTGTGGTACATTCATCACCTGTTCAAGTTCATGCTGAGCCACCCTCTCCTACCTCCCAGGCAACCCCATGTGCACCTAATGAATCCCCAATACCTGAAATTCCCATTGAAATTTTTACACAAAAACTTGATCATTCATACAACTTGACCCCAAAACCTCCAAAGCCTGTAAGACATGGGAATGCTATAATTAAAACAGCTATGGAAGCCGTAAGAAGAAGCAACTATAGACGTCTTATCAAATTGCTATTCCAACAAAGCAAGAAATTCAGACTAGAATTCCAAAGATTTGTAAGCAAAAAGGTAAAAATAGAGATAAAAGCGTTCACAAAAAAAATGAAGCCTTATAAAAACTGGAGCGATTTATTGGACGAATCCAGCAGCACAATGCCAATATTAGCAAGTACTATCAAATCAGCTGTGCCTAAACAAATGTACAACAGTAAGAACGAAGATGATCAAGCTGCTCGAGTTGGGGTGGTGACATCTATTTTGTGCTACTGCAATAATCCTTTTTCAAATCAGTTTCAAAAGATGACAAGCTATCAACTATGGAAGCATGGCTGTGACAGGAAAGTAAGTACTATTTGTTCATAGACTATTGAATTGAAAGTTATAAATACAGTTAATTGACATGATTGAGTATATGAATGAAAATGCTCTAATTTTGTGTGGATAAGCTACTGTACTATTGACAGATGATATACAACAGTATGATGATATGACAGTGATATACAGTAACATATATTGCAAGTGAAGCACATCATGTTTTATGATGATTTGTGATTGTCTGGTCAGATCATTAGAATATTTTAATGGACTGATAGTGATAGTGATAGCATTTATGTCTCATGATACGGTTGATTCTGTATATCCTGTTTATACTCAAGTGATTTTATGATATATTCGGGAGTGACCGAAGGATGATTATTGTGCATCTTTAAATGGTAGAATTCTAATACATCTCTTATGTTTACAATGTTTACGTTTCCGTTTTATATTTTTTGTTACAAATACAGATTCATATATGTTACTTGTTCTAACATATATCAGATAAAATATTTGTTATAATAATCATAATTTTCTTGTAAACATGTTGTTTTATCTCCAGATGATGCATTATTTAAATCAGTTGGGCCTTGCTCTTTGCCCTAAAGCAAATCTAAGCGTTGTGAAAAGAACAGACAAAGAACAGCTTGAACAGGTGAATGATAACCAAATTAAAATTTTTTTCTGTAACAAATTGCAGGTGGTGACATTTTGCATGTTAATGCCATGTTTTTTTTTTCCATGTTTTTCTTTATTTCAAGGGCCTTGCCTTGCCCATTAAAAAGGCAGTCATAGAAAAAATGAGGTGGGGGGGGGGGGCAAATATTTCCAAGGTTGTATGGAAACCAATTTTAGGCATAAGTTCTTAATGAATAGTGAAAGGCCCTTTTGTTATCTAAATTGCCCTGTTATGGGCCCCAAATATTTTTTGGGGTATCATGTCATTTAGATGCTCACTGGGGATTAATATGAGACAAATCTCGTTCTTACATATATTGTTCAATTGATATATAGTTTTTCCTTTTTCAGTGGGATGAATTCTATTCAAGCAAGGGGATCAAAAGGCAACGTAGTCCAACAGAAGAGGGAGAAGAAAACAATGCAAATAAACAACAGAAGGTTGATCAAAGGTAATTTTTACAAACTTTCATATGTACAACTGTATTTGATAATTTACTGATCTTACATATACTCATTTTATTTCAAATAATTTTTATTTTATTTTTTTATTTTTATAGCAGCGAGACAGATGTTAATGTACCTAAACTGAGCACACAGATTGCTGGCTCATATAAACCAGGTACCAAACCAACTATGGCTTCAAGACGTAGTGCAAGAAAGAGTCGAAAGAAACTGTGAGTAGGCAACATAAAACTACATGTACATGTATATAATTCAATGTTTTAATACTATACAGTGATCTCAACAGAATCTTTTCTTCAGTGGGTGCAAAATTCTCATTTTCACAATTCAGACTGAAATTGGTCTAAATATGCCCATTTTACTTGCATGATTTCTCCTCATTTTCAAGTAGATGCGAATGGATTTTCAGTTGGGTGCAAGCCTTTTTTCAAAATCTCAGGTGTGTCATATTTTGTCCTCCAAACCTTGAAATCGATGAGATTGAGTACATGTATTTTGTTATGTGGTTTTGTTTTGATTGTTTATATTATTTCCTAAAATTTCAGAGACAGAGTCAAACAGTATAGGAATTGAACAAATGTCTTCAATTGTCATACAATGTAAATGCAGATTTCCAATTTCACAAAAATAAGGCAGACAATAAAATTATATAATTATGCAATAGGGATGTTGAAGCTATTCGGAATCTGAAAGTGACATGTTATGGTCAAGAGCATCCAATATCCAATCAAGAGGTCTTTAGTTACTTTCCCACAGAGGTGGACTGACTTTTTCACATCTGCCAATAGCGTAGGATTTGATCCTATGTTTCAAAGAATGTTATGGTGCAGATGTTATTAAATTTTCACATAGCTAGGCAAGGTGTGTCCGATTCCAGTCAATCTGTACAGAGTATTCACATAATGAACAGTATGTTAAATAATCAATAACACACTCAAGGTCACTAGTTAAACAGTTGTCATGGTCATGAATTATTTTTCACATTGGATTTGATGACTCGCCAACTTGACCCTTGCAAAAAATTTCATTGAAAATGTGTTCTTTTAGTGATTTCGTTCCTTTTAGATGATTTTATAGAAAAAATTGCAATGTGTGAAAAGAATTTAAGCCAAAGACTGCATTGTAGCTTCTTCATCCACTCAGGCATTGTTTCTTATACTTTGCATTCCGCTGCGTGGTCATGGAAAGGTTTGGAAACAATACCTTCATGTATGATTCAGCAAACAATGCATCTTGGGCTTAAGGGGAGCCATCAAAAGTTCAATGTCGGATCGGAAACTAAATAAATCTAGTTTTGACTCTGACCCCCCCCCCCTCTCCCCCAAAACTAAATACCATGAAAGTTGATCGCTTACTCCCGGTTTGAGAATTTGAAAAATTATTGCTAAACACGATCTAGTTTTTGTTAATTCCTATCGTAATTTGCGGCTTTTAACAACTATTGATAGAATAGAATCCATTGGAATGATCTTGACGAAGAAAGCAGCAGGTAAAATCTTTATTTTTATACCATTCCGAGGCATTCTGAGTCGAAATTGCCAAAAGTTTGAAATGTTTAAGTTTGTCGGATAGCAAACTGAAATGGGTTTGAACCCCCTCCCCCCTAACTAGATTTATTTAGTTTTCTATCCGACATCGAACTTTTGATGCCTCCCCTAAATCCTTTACTAATGGATCCAATGAAAGTTAAAACAGACATTTAATGAACATTTTTAAAAGCAAAACCTTTTTCTGTTTACAAGTCTTGGTAAAGAATGGATGACTGGACCCATGACTGATTGGGAACTGCTGTATAAACCAGGCACCTCAGCAAAAAGGTAAATGAATGCATTAGTCCACAATCATTCAGAAATAATAGAGGAATTAACCTGTAGGTTTGCAAATAGTAAAGATAGAGCTCAAATGATACTCAGTTGTTTATCCTAAAGTTCATGCAATGAAGACAAAATCATTGGGTTATAACTCAAAAGTTGAAACATATTTTTATATAGTCTCCAACTTTTTTTCTGGATGACGGACGGCATTCAGCGGTTGGTGTTTAGTGGTTGGTGATTGTTGTCCATGGTCTGCAGATTAATTTGCATGTTAATGCCTAGTTTGATTTAATGATAATACCTAAGAAAGTGTTATAACATACAAATATCTAGGATGTGCACTTATTAAAAATAAGAAGTTCACCAAAATGTATGTTTGTTCAAAGTTAAACAGAACAATAGAAAATAAATGACATTTATATAGCGTCATTGCATCTTTTTGATTCCTTTAAATTCTATTTATATTCTAAAGTAAACTTTTTTCTGTTTAATAGTCTACTGAGTAAAGAAGGTGTGACTGGGCACATAACTAAAAATATATGCATAGATAACACAGCTGCCTCTGTACAAAGGTAAATAATAGTGATCTACATTGGTCCAAAATAATCACTAAGATTGCAAATAGTAAAGATGGCCCATAGTCAGATAGTAAAAGCACAATTAGAGAAACCTCCCTAATATTTTGGCATAATAGATGTAAAACAAGTTTGTCTATTCCTTACAAAATGAGCCTGCCACTAACTTGTTAGAGTATCAACTTAATGATTACTCACAAACAGTAATTTCTGAATGGCTAGAAGTATATGCAAAATGATATTGAAAAAATCCGCTTCAATTTTCTCCAATCTTATTGGCTGTCTGGATTTTTCAAGAGATTCGACAGCATTGCTTGTAATTCACAATTTTCAAATACTGTAAATTGCTTTAATTTGATGGCTGTTTTAATTTGGCGAATTTGGTGGATTTATGACAACCGCAAAATTAAGCCTCACTATTGAATTATTTTTTGAAGAGAATAAATTCTGAAAGCAAGTGAGATAAAATAGCACTCGGTGGGAAGCTCTAAGAGGTGAGGGGTACTAGTATTGAATGAAGTAGAGTATGGCAAACATGGTATGTAATGGTTATGGAGATCGTTTTTTTGAAAAAACTAGACGCACCAAATAAAAGCAACTTACAGTAATCAATAATAGAAACACACTTTTTTGAATCGAATCTGAAAGCTGTAAATGCAGTGAAACCTGTAAAGTGGAACACCTCTTGAAATGGAACACCTCTTTTATTGGAACACTTTATCGAGTCCCAAGACCAACTGACTTGATTTCAAATGAACCTCTATAAGTGGAACACCTCCTAAGTGGAACACATTTTAGAGATGTCAAAGGTGTTCCACTTAGACCAGGTTTTTCTGTAGTCAACACCAAAACTCATGAATGAATGTTTATTTCATCTTTTTGATACTTTATGATTTGCCAAAAGAATAAATGGTATGTCACTTAAAGTTGTTCCACTTCTAGAGATGTTCCACTGTATTAGAAAGAAAACATTTGTTTGTCACCCTTAGTTTAATATATTTTAGGTTTAATATGTATGCAATCTTGTAGTTTTATTCAAAACACTATAAATGTCTCATACAGCAAAGTTCATTCATCATTGATTCAAAAACTTGGGTTGAAATTATATGCCAATTATACCTACCATGATGTTCTTACTCTTTTTTTGTTATTTGTTATGCTGTATTTTACAATGGACTTACGACTTAGTTGAATCCTGAATTCTGTAGTATTAAACTTTTGGATTGATATAAAATACTTTGCTCCTGGAAAACTGAATACAACAAATGATCGTGTAAATTTAGGTCCTTCAAATGCAGTTCTTAACCAAATTGAAATATGTTATCAAATAGCTGAAAATTTTAAATCTCCTAAATTCTCTTTAAAAACAAGACTTCATTCAGTGAGATCGCTATACATAGCATAACCTCTTTTGACATAAAGTTGCACAATTTTATCATCCTACCCTGTACATTTTGATAGCGCAATATATATTTGCCCGAGAAGAGGGGGCTTTGGGTTCGAACCTCACAGGGGTGGTCTGACTTTTTTGCATCAAGCCTCAGAGCAGAATTTCATTCTGTGTTATCATTAATCATTACTTGTCTGTTATAGGAACAATAATGTGAACAGCAATGATTTGTATCCTGGAGAAAACATTCCACAGACCTTGACGGAAAGTGGCGGTACTGACACAGTGTACAATGGTATGCAAACTTTTTGTTGTATTTACTTTTCCAAGCCTTGGTGGACTAGGTTTGTCAACAACACATATGCATCCAAGCTAATAGAAATTATTATAAATGAAATTATCAATCTAACACTGAAGAAAAATGACCCCAAATGGATTTTGCTGCCTCCAGTACAAGTTGTTTGAAACAACCATGTAAACATGTTTCAGAAAGAAATTGTCCATTTTAGAGTACCTACGAATGTGTTCCTGTGACATTTTGGCATCAGAGAATGACAATGTCTACCCAAAGTTTACATGCTATACATATTAACATAACTGAAATCTTGATGACAAAATTTGAGATACAAAAACAAAATTGCTTGTGAAAACCATTTACAAAAGTGTCATACGTCAGTGCTTTATGTGGGGATCTGATCAGATGTTCTTTACTTGAATACATGAATAGATTTCCTCTGAGTTTGTATTGTCAAAATTTGCCGACCCACAGACCACTTTTACTATCAAATAATCGAAGAAACATTGTCTTTCGTTTCAATATAACCAGACTTGCCAACCTCCCGTTTTTTTACGGGAATCTCCCGTAAATTTTTTGTTTTTCCGTAAAAAATACCAAACTCCCGTACCGTTTTCTCCCGTAAAAACTCCCGTAAACTCCCGTACCGTATTTCTACTAAAATCTCCTGTAATTTTAAAAAAATATGGCCGTAAAATCTCCCGTATTTTTGCTGAAATCTCCCGTAAAATCTCCCGTATTCTGGTATAACTCCCGTAAAAAAAAAAAAAAACTCACGTTTTTTTCAAAATCTACCGTAAAAACACCAGTTTTTTCAGAAACCTACCTTAAGAACTCCTGTTTTTTCTGAAATCTACCGTAAAAACTCCCGTTCTTTCAAAATCTACCATAAAAACTCCCGTTTTTTCAAAATCTACCAAAAAACTCCAGTTTTTCCGAAATCTACCGTAAAAACTCCCGTTTTTTCAGAAATCTACCGTAAAAACTCCCGTTCTTTCAAAATCTAAGTAAAAACTCCCGTTTTCAGAAATCTACCGTAAAAACTCCTGTTTTTTCAAAATCTACCAAAAAACTCCAGTTTTTCCGAAATCTACCGTAAAAACTCCCGTTTTTTCAGAAATCTACCGTAAAAACTCCCGTTTTTTTCAGAAATCCACCGTAAAAACTCCTGTTTTTTTTAAAAATCTACCGCAAAAAACTCCCATTTTTTCAAAACCTACCGTAAAAACTCCCGTTTTTTCAGAACCTACCGCAAAAACTCACGTTTTTCTGAAATCTTCTGTAAAAAAAGTCACGTTTTTTAAAATTTACCGCGAAAAATACCTTTTTTAAAAAATCTCCCGTAAAAACTCCCGTTTTTTCAAAATCTCCCGCAACAACTCCCGTTTTTTTTTCAAAATTTACCGCGAAAATTTTTAAATCTCCCGTAAAAACTGCCATTTTTTTCAAAAATCTCCCGTAAAAACTCCCACTTTTTTTTCAAAAAACTCCTGCAAAAACTACCGGATTTTGAAAAAAACTCCCGTAAAAGTACCACAATTTTTTTTAAATCTCCCGAAAATTTTTCATTTTAGGTTGGCAAGTCTGATAACACAATCGACATTAGCTGAAAACTTCAACTAAAATTGTTTGAGAAATGTTGAAATGGCAGACTGATTCCCAGAACTTATTGACCAACCTGTATACACATGTTTTGCAGATTATAGATTTTTAAAGAAATCAACAAAATGTAAATTGTACTTTTACATTGACTCAGATATTTTTATATTTTTTTTTCAGGCAAAGTACCTAGATTACTCTCAGGAACTGATGAAGCAACCATTACATCTTACTCATTGATAGAGGATGATCAGGAAAATGTCTCAGATTCAGAGGACGTTATCTCATCTTTTTTAGGGACTTCAGATTTTGTGACATGAAATAGCCACATTTGCTATATTCTAAGTTGCTTTAATTTGACGAATTGATGAAAGTTTAAACATGAATATTATACAATATTCTGTTCTATCTTTCACAAGTGATATTTATGGAATACCCTCTTGAGAGGGTGTCAGGGGTTTTCATTGAAAACAGAATAAAATATTTCTATATTATTATATTACTGTCAAGTTCACCACCATCAGAATTGTTTATTCATATGTTGAAACATTGATCAAAAGGTCAAGATCTCTGTATTGGCTATGATTACCCTGTGATGGGGATAAAAGGTTACATTTCTCATTATGAAAGATTAGTAATTATGAAAGATAAGTTATTAAAATGAACATCACAAAATGGCTCAAGACGAAGCCAAAATCTTCGGCTGAAGTGAAAAGGATGGCTGATATTGAAACGGAAATGGTGTTCTTTTGCATTCTTAAGGGATCGCACACTTAAAAAAGAGAAGTAGGACAAATTAGGTCAAAAACCCGCTAAAATTGATAGCCGCAAAATTCAAAGAAGCTTGAAATTAGCAAAATGTAATAGTCACAAAATTTCAAAATCGCAAAAAACAATAGCGTCATGATAAATGGGAGTGCAGTGTTCAAAATTTTTCTAATTTGATATGCATGACCAGTTATTATCCCAAAGAACAAAGTTTGTAGATATTATAATACGGAAGCCCCCCATTTGTCTGATAATTCAAATAATAGTGGATACTAGATCTTCATCATAATTGTCAGAAAAATGTATTTTGGTGAATAGTTTTAAGCAAAACATTTTTTAAAGATGTCCACCACTTGAAAATAAAGAGTAGAGTATTTCACAAAACAAAGTAGTAAGTACTATTGTTTGACATTATTCATAACATACAGGGTGTTCCAAAAATAACAGGACTGGTGCTGGCATTTTGTCAATTTTGCGCTGAGCATCTTCAAATTTTCACAAATTGTACTTTGAAGTATTGCAACTAAAATTGTAAAGTTTCAGAAAAAAAGATGAAATGCGGTTAGAGTTAGGTTGCTATAGAAACATGACATCACAATACCCGGGGCAACTTTTCCGTGAAAATGTGATATCTAACATTTTTGTATTACTGAAGAAAGTATCTAATTCACCTATTATAATACAACATTTCTTGTTTATTTTATTAGTTCCTTTGTTGTAAAGGTGTTGCTATACAACTCAGAGTCAAGTATAATTTCATAATGATAATAATATGTATTCAATTTCCTGGAATATCACTATGTATAAGGGTCTGAACAATTCACGGTTGAGTTTTTGAAAAGACCCAATTTGAAGCCAGTCATCTACCTTAATAGCGCGCCTGCCCGCAGGTCACCATTTAAGACCATGCAGCTATAGAGGAGCCAGGTCTTGAGGTCTAAAACCATGCACCATACTCCTCTGATCATGCAATATCTAATTTTTACTTATATTGAGAACGGAATGCTAATCAGTGCTGTAAGACCTTTAAAGATGAGAATGACCTTCTCCAAATTGTCCAATCGGCCCTGCGTGATATGTCCTCAAATGGGTTCACTCATGTGTTTGGGTCATGGATACAGAGTACTACTCTTGTACTCACCAAAGAGGAGCCTATTTTTCAAAGTAGAGGATACATAGGAATATCAAATGATGTAAAACAAATGTAATTCCCACCACTTGTTGCATTTCAACTTTGATATGGCATGTACAAAATGCTTAATGTCTCTGTAACTTTTTGCGTGGAATGTTGCCCCGGGTATTGTGATGTCATGTTACTATAGCAACCATAACTCTACCCGAGTTTCATATATTTTGTCGAAACTTTGCAGTCTTAGTAACAATACATGAAAGTACATTTTGTAAAAATTTGAAGACGATTGGTGCATATTTAACAAAATGCCAGCACCATATTTATCATATTTATTCATTGTTTTTTTTTCACCCAAGGGGCCATGTATGGGGGGACAGGAATTTTCATTAATTTTGAGATCTTTCTGAAGTATAGCTTTATTGTACTCAAATAAAAGGCATTTAGTAGATTGTAAATATTATATCACTTTTCTGATCCAGGCCACGTGAAATTCAAAATTGCCACCTATGTATTTTGGGATTTTGCAATAATTTTCTGATCTCTTCAAAGTATGGTTACTCTATACTCAAATTGATGCCATAGAAAATTCAAAATGGTTGCCTAGAGCAGGAATTCACTCTTATTTGGAGTATGATTACATTATACTTAATTAAATCTCAAATATTATATTGTCTTTCAATCAACTTTTTTTTCCTAAACTTCTCATTCTGATTTTTTTGAAAAAAATCTAGGTGAAAAATATACAGTTTAATGCTGATGTTTAATAAAATATGTGAAACTTAAAAAGATTGACTTGTTTGTTTATTTCTAGAAAAATATTTGAATATAACTTTGGTTTCAATGAGAAAACACATTTTTTATATTAAAAAAAATTGCACATTTCAGATTCTCTTAAAAATTGTGATTTTTCTGAATTTATGAAAATTCACCATCTGGATTTTGAGAAAAAAACAAAAAAAAACTTTGAATATTATGAATCAGAAGGATTATATTATTATTCCATTGTACATAATGACTCATATTGCCCAAAAATGTCTTGATAGATCAACATGAGTGTGTCAAATAAGAACACCCTATGCAGACAGAGCCTGTTGGAAATATTGGGTGCGGCGCAAATGAGCGGAGGGTGCGGAGCTAACGGTCATTTTTGAATTTAAAATTGTGATATTTCTGAAACTAAGCCGTTTTGGGACTTCAAATATACCAAGATATGTGTATTTGACACCAAATATCAATAAAATTGTGAAAATAGTAGTGCAATTCCTTTTATAGCGACGCAGTATGCCTTAAACATTTCCCAGACCTATATATTTTGAGACTATCCTTTTAGTTCTGCGTCCCCAGCATTCATAAAAAATGGTGTTCAAGAAACACTACCCATGCAAATTATTTTTGCATCTTGGAAGCCAGGCAGTATCTGTGTGATTTTATAAAAATTCGGAAATGTTCTTCAGATATGAGCCCCCTCTTAATATTGGGTGCGGAGGTACGTTTATGGAGCTCCTCCGCACCCAATATTTAGAGGGGGCTCATATCTGAAAAACATTTCCGAATTTTTATAAAATCACACAGATACTGCCTGGCTTCCAAGATGCAAAAATAATTTGTATAGATAGTGTACCTTGAACACCATTTTTATTATGTCACCACCAAAAGTGGTGACATATTGTTATGGTCTCCATTTTTTTGCGACGGCGGTTGGCGTCCGGCGTCTGGCGTCCGGCGTCCGGCGTCTAACAATTTCTTACAACTTCCTATAACTTAACAAATACTGTTTAGATTGACTTCAATTTTTTTCTAAATCATCTACATGTTCTCAGAAGTTCAAATCTGACTTTAGATTTGACATTTGACCTTCAATGACCTTCTCAAGGTCAAAAAGGTCTTTTTTCAACTTGCTTCACATTGACTAATTTTTTTTTCAAAATCATCTACATGTTCTCAGAAATTCAAATCTGACTTTAGATTTGACTTTAGATTTGACATTTGACCTTCAAATCTGACTTTAGATTTGACATTTGACCTTCAATGACCTTCTCAAGGTCAAAAAAGGTCAAAAAGGTCTGTTTTCAACTTGCTTCAAATTGACTAAATTTTTTTTCAAAATCATCTACGTGTTCTCAGAAATTCAAATCTGTCTTAAGATTTGACTTAAGATTTGACATTTGACCTTCAATGACCTTCTCAAGGTCAAAAAAGGTCAAAAAGGTCTGTTTTCAACTTGCTTCAAATTGACTAAAAAAATTTTCAAAATCATCTACATGTTCTCAGAAATTCAAATCTGACTTTAGATTTGACTTAAGATTTGACATTTGACCTTCAATGACCTTTTCAAAAAAGGTCAAAAAGGTCTATTTTCAACTTGCTTCAAATTGACTACATTTTTTTTCAAAATCATCTACTTGTTCTCAGAAATTCAAATCTGACTTTAGATTTGACATTTGACCTTCTCAATGTCAAAAAAGGTCAAAAAGGTATTTTTTCATCTTGCTTCAAATTGACTAAATTTTTTTTTCAAAATCATCTACATGTTCTCAGAAATTCAAATATGACTTTAGATTTGACTTTAGATTTGACATTTGACCTTCAATGACCTTCTCAAGGTCAAAAAAGGTCAAAAAGGTCTTTTTTCAACTTGCTTCAAATTGACTAATTTTTTTTTCAAAATCATCTACATCTTTTCAGAAGTTCAAATTTGACTTTACAAGTTCTCAGAAGTTCAAATCTGACTTTAGATTTGACCTTTGACCTTCAATGACCTTCTCAAGGTCAAAAAGGTCTTTTTTCAACTTGCTTCAAATTGACTAATTTTATTTTTCAAAATCATCTACATGTTCTCAGAAGTTCAAATCTGACTTTAGATTTGACATTTGACCTTCAATGACCTTTTCAAGGTCAAAAAGGTCTTTTTTCAACTTGCTTCAAATTTACTTAATTTTTTTTTCAAAATCATCTACATGTTCTCAGAAGTTCAAATCTGACTTTACATTTGACATTTGACCTTCAATGACCTTCTCAATGTCAAAAAAAGTCAAAGAGGTATTTTTTCAACTTGCTTTCTATTGACCAAATTGTTTTAGGTGGTGACATTTTGTCATGTTAATGCCTTGTTTATGAATGCTGGGGACTCAGTATTAAAAGGATAATTTCAAAATATATAGGTCTGGGAAAGGTTTAAGGCACACTGCGTCGCTATAGAATGAATTGCGCTACTATTTTCACAATTGTATTGATATTTGGTGTCAAATGCACATATCTTGGTATATTTGAAGTCCCAAAACGGCTTAGTTTCAGAAATATCCCAAATTTAAATTCAAAAATGACCGTTAGCTCCGCACCCTCCGCTCATTTGCTCCGCACCCAATATTTCCCACAGGCTCTGTCTGCATAGGGTGAAGAAGAGATCAAGAAAATGCATGGTGGACTGTTCAAAATGAAAAAAATAGATTCTGCCGGGTTTCGAAAACCACTCTCAGGGTTTAAAATTTTTCCAAAACCCAGTAGGGGCTCATATGATAGCCAAAGGTGGACCCGTCAGTGAACAAATTTGAACCACATTAGTTATCTGGGGAAACATGTCAGCTTAAAGGATTTGGAACTTTGACACCCAAAAAGGGGAAGCACTATGGGACAAAAAAGCCGAGATAACTAGCCTGAAAGAGGAGATAGAGGAAAACAAATCCCTGATGTCAGGATGTTGAGGATAGAAGATATTCAAGCTGTAAATCATAATTCGCAATATTGCTGTGAAAATATTGTCCGTACATTAGGTATTCCAGCACCCAGAGAGGGATGAGTAATGTTATTACTAGCATAGAAATTACTCTGAAGGATCACATCCTCGTAGATGCCAATGGTATTGAAATCACCATTGTGTGATGGCAGGATGGCAAGGAAAAATGATAAACCACATCCAATCATTGCAAAATTCAAATTTACAGATTTAGGGACTTGCATATCCATCACAAGTCTTGATTGAAGGGCACCAACATTGTGGTATATCAGTATATAAGATTGTGATTCTGATTTGGGATAGAATGACTGAATGGATAAAACTGATATAATTTTCTTAGATGACATCAAGATTGTTTGCAGTAGTAGGATCAGTTGCTCAATAAATAATAAGGAATATTTTTTGAGCTTCTGATCCATAGATCCCGGTCAGATTCTTTTGTAGTAGGATCAGAGGCTATAAGAATTATTCTTTGAGCCTATGAGATCTCACGACAAAACGATCTGGCCAACATCTCTGTCAGTCTGTGTTCTTAGCTATTTTAGCGTACACTTTTTTTAGTCTTAAAAGAATATTTCCTACAACTTTGTATGGTAAATTCAACATAAAATTAATATGTAAAACTTTTATTGATGCTACATAAACGTGTATTAGTATAGCATCTCAATATCCATCGGACTGGTATATACATACATTTATTGACAATAGTGTATGAATCAATCAAAAACATTTATCAGCGTGCAAATTTTGTATCGTATTTTGGGGTTGTACTAAATACCACCTAGGTGCCCCACACCTAGGTGCCCCCATTGAAATGCCTTACTGGCATATTTTACTACTTTATTTCAAGCTAACATCTTTCCAAGTGTTTAATGGTACATAATAACAGGCCTGTCAACTGTCCCGCAATTTGCGTATTTGTCACGCATTTGCTGAAGAATTTGAAGTCACGCCAGTTATTTTTGCGTGACAGAAAATGTCACGCAAATACGCATTTTACCTGGTAATTGTCACGCAAAAATATTTCTGTAGAAAAATTTCTAAAATCGATCGTCTACACAGCAAAAATACGAACGCCGGAAAAAAATGTACGCATTTCGTTCGGACTTTTCACGCGAATTACGTATATGTCACGCATTCCGTTCGAAATTTTGTATGTGTCACGCATTTCGTTCGAAATTTTTCGTACCTCCCCCCCCCCCCCCCCCCCCCCCCCCCCCCCCCCCCCCCCCCCCCGTTGACGGATGTTTGAAACGCGAGCGTAGCGAGCGCGAAAAATTTGAGGTGTTCAAAATTTGGCAAGATGTCCTAAAATTTAAACCAAGGTGTTCAAAATTTGGATCAAGGTGTTCAGATTTGGACCAAGGTGTCCACATTTTGAGGGGAGGTGTTCAACATTTCCAAGTCACTCATGTTAGGTGTTCCCAAGTTGACAGGCCTGTAATAAAGTATTTTTATGGAACTTGTGTAGATATTTCTGTTTGTCATTATCTTTTTAATTGTCTTGAAAATTTTGATCGTTGTCGAAAAGGCTTATCCCGTTCCCGGACTATGGTCCTGTGAACATCTCAATCTTTTGCCTGTGCGATTACAACATGGGAGAATTTTTTACTCATTTTACACTTCTGATACCTACTTCAATAGATTCCTTGGTAATTTAGCATTCTTTTCGTGTAGTTGAATCCACAATTGTCTGGGTTTATCGGCAGAACGAAGACATTTTCGTTTTTGATCGCAATATTTGCGTGTAACATTTAACTTATTTCAACCGTCAAATTCCTCCATATTGGTACTTCCGGGCTACATCCGGGACAGCCAAACGGGGGATTCCACTAGAGGCAATCTGCGCGAGATTCCATTTTTTGGTTCGGTTTTTGGCGCATGCGCATTAAATCCAGCAATTTAATTGGTTAAAATTATTATCACGCATGCGCAATTAATAGCTGAAAAAGAACATTTAATTTGAGATAGATGTCACTTACGTTCATTATTTCACAGCAGTCCCTACCCATGATGCACCATATAGTGCGGGAATATTTTTGTTTAGTGTCAAAACAAAAAGTATACACCCAAAACAAATGTAATGACATAATATCAACCTGCCCCGGATTTGTAGACGTGTGTTGTACAAACTTAAACCGAACCGATGGCAGAAAAGCACTTTGAATCATGGGAATGAAGTACTTCCTTTAATGAAAAACCGAACCAAGTAAAAACCGAATCTCGCGCAGATTGCCCCGACTCGGGGATTCCCATTTTAAATCCAACCGCCATTTTGAAAAGTGATGGAATCTCTCTCGATGAAAAAGAGAAATGTTCCCGTTCTGCCGATATACCCAGACAATCGGCGGTTCCAATATATTAGAAGTTACATCTTGAGTTCTATAATGCATTGAGGTAAGTATCTTAAGTGTAAGGGGCGTAGATAATTCTCCCAAGTTGTAATCGTACAGGCAAAGGAATGCGCTCAGTGCAGGACTATAGTCCGGGAACGGGATAAGAAAAGGCCATTTGTTAGGATAATATTTCATTATTTGCCCACTAAAAATGCCACAAATTCACTATTTTAACAACTCAAGTAAGAACAATAAATATATTTCAAATATAACATTTTAGCATTAAAACAGTTTTATTACTACAAATAAGTGACCATACATTACTCACTTCGAGAGCCATGTTAGATTTTGAAACTTATGGCTCTCAAACGGAGAAGTGAACAGCTGATCAATAGTGACCTTTGAAACTGAATTAAGTCGATCCGCGGCTTACTTTTGGTCTCTAACTGTGTCTTACATCAGTATCATCAATCCGTGTAAGTATTGGAGCGCTGGAGTACTTCTTTTTCGATCAAGACTTGTAAATTGTTCATCGAGTTAAAGTTTTACAGACCTATTTCCAATATGGCGGTTTGCTAGGTGCGAGATACGCAACGAACGAAATGAATTTTGAGAATTAGTTAGGTTCGGACAACCTCCGGAGATTTACGAAAATGTCCGAGCAGAAACCGCCATATTGGAATTTGGCAGTAAAACGATTCACTCGACCTAACAATTACAAGTCGTGATCGAAAAAGAAGTACTCCAGCGCTCCAATACTTACACGGATTGATGATACTGATGTAAGACACAGTTAGAGACCAAAAGTAAGCCGCGGATCTACTTAATTCGATTTCAAAGGTCACGATCACTGAGCTGTCCAAATGCTCCGTGGGAAAGCTATATATCAAAATCCAAATAGCTTTCGCAGGAAGTAAACCATACATACATGAACAAAATTCCAGGTGGCCATCTAACAATAAATCTTTTTACATTTCATTGCACTATTTTACATTTCTTTGCAATATTCTCGACTACAAATTATTATTTCAAGTCTATTATATGTCAAGTTAATATGACAAAGGAAATAATACTATATTTCATTATTTAAAATGTGTATGTGGTTTAAAATGGAATTATAAATCCAGGTGCCCAAGGGGACACCTAGGTGGTATTTAGTAACACCCGTATTTTGTTTACACCGGAAGGTCAAGGTCATATCAAATAGTGACGTCATTTTACTGCTGAGCGGGATTTGTCTCCTCGTTTCCACTATATTCTATTCAGTAAGTTTCACCAATACTAATTATAGTTTCACCTCTCAGTGGCGTAGCGTCATATACGCATAGAACGCCATGGCGTGCTCTCAAAATTTAGAAGAAAAAATTGATTTTTTAGATTGAATTTGCCCCGACTTAGGGTGCACTTTGGAATTTTTTGCAAAGACGGCTAAATTTTGAAAAGTAAACCAACCACTGAATATTCTAGTTTTTCAAACATTCTGGAGAATTATCAACCCTCCATAATAGTCTAGGTACATTAATGCAGCTTTTGTGCAAGAATGAAAGATGTAGATGATGCATGATGTGTGGAATGAGTTATGTTTTTCTGAAAATACATGTAGATTGTAGATCTAGCACATGGAATTTCATCAAAGTGCAAGTTATTCTTTCCAAATACAGATGTTGGCCAGATCGTTTTGTAGTAGGATCTTATAGGCTCAAAGAATAATAATATTTATTGAGCTACTGATCCTACTACAAAAGAATCTGGCCGGGATCTATGTTTCCAAACAACATTTATGTGAGACCCTATCTGTTGCAAGCCTGGCACAACCGTCACAATGTTATTGAGTGTTTTTGAAGTTGCGCAAGGATCCTGCCATGACTGTGGTAGTGTTATCTTGAAAGCCTGGTATGACCGTGACAATTCTATATTATATTGCTTTGCAAGGCCTTTCATGACCATGGTAATGTTAAAGTCTGATATGACCGTGACAGTGGTTGCAAGGCCTGTCATGACCTTGGTAATGTTAAAGCCTGATATGACTGTGACAATGGTTGCTAGGCCTGTCATGACTGTTGTAATGTTAAAGCACAATTTGACCGTGACAATGGTTATATTAAATGACTTATAGAAGCATGAGAATGCGGGTTTGTGTAAAAAAAACGGGTGGCCGGGTAACCGGGTACTTAAGGTTCCTTGCAGGGTTACCAACTTTCAAAGTTGCACATTTGTAGACTACCCTTCAATATTGTTACGTTATCGTTTTACCAAGAACCTATAAGAGACTGAATTTCGGAAGTCCTAAGTAGTTATTGACACAGTTTACACGTACAATGACTTTAGTTGCTTGATTTATTATCTGAGTGATTGACAGGATATCGATGATTGTTTTCTATGATGACGATTTCTACTAGATATTAAACAAATCTGGAAGATTTACGTACATGTAAATTGAAACGTCACTTGCCATTTTTATCTGTTAATTAGTGTACAATGTACAATACAACGTTACTTGCTTGATTTATTGCCTCACTGATTGACATTATATTAATTTTGTTTGTCGTTTAGATGGTTGATTTATTGGTATATAAATTTTGTTGCTTATTTGGTTATTTGCTTGATTGGTTGTGTCACTGGTACGTTGATTGGGATGTCAGTTGGGTGTTTTGAGGCATAAAATGAAAAAATCAAATTCCTAACCCTGGTAGGAAGGTAAGGTACCCAGTCACCCAGTTACCAGGTCACCCCGTTTTTTACACAAACCCTGAGAATGCTGTAGACTACTTCTACTTTAACTCATGACCTTGGTAATGTTAAAGCCTGATATGACCGTGACAATGGTTGCTAGGCCTGTCATGACCGTTGTAATGTTAAAGCACGATTTGACTGTGACAATGGTTATATTAAATGACCTTTAGAAGCATGAGAATGCTTAATATTACCACGGTCATGAGAAACCTTACAACCATTGCCACAGTCATGTAAGGCTTTAAAGGAATATTCCTTGTCAAACCATCTCTCTCCTCATATGGTAGCTATAACCATATATATGCTTGCCATGTTTAGCAAAACACGCAAAAATGTTTTGATATGGTCAAATTTGATCACTAAGAAATGTGATGCTCAATTCCAGTAAGCTGCCATCTTTTAAAATTTCACACAGGAAGTGATGTCATCGACTCTCAACTTTGCATATAGCATTAGGTGAGGAGCTATTAAAAATTACAAAATCAGCTAAATATTCTTTTTCAACTTTGTATCTTATTTAATCCTTCTGAAAATCTCTTCTTTTATTCTAAGTTGACAAGCCCTGAAACTATTTTTGCACAGAAAGTAATGATCACTTGTCTAGAAGTGATTTTGTGCTACTTTCCTATACTGTTATGGGCAAGGTTATAGAAGTTGAGAGTTGATGACATCACTTCCTGCAAGAAATCTTAAAAGATGGCAGCTCACTGGAAATAAGCACTAGACTAGACTAGATTTAAATGATCAAAATTGACCATATTATAACATTATCCCATGTTTTGCTAAATATGGGAACTATATATATGATTATAGCTACCATATCAAGAGAGAAAGGGTCTGGCAAGGAATATTCCTTTAATATTACCACGGTCATGACAGGCCTTGCAATATGATACAGCATTGTCACGGTTATACCAGACTTTCACAACCACCACGGTCATGGCAGGATCCTTGCGTAACTTAAAAACACTTAATAACATGGTGACGGTTGTTCCAGACAAAGTCTTGCAATAGATAGCATGTGATTTATGTATGCCTATGTGAAATGCCTGTTGGGAGTCGTGTTCTAAGAAGCATACATAGAAACAAACGTTAACCTACCACAAAAGTACTCAAGATATAGCCTACTGGGCTTCTACTATTCTCTTTGAAGTCGCTTAGGATAATACAAAGTGTAACAACAAACAGAACTGAGAACTAGGAACTCAAACACACTCCCAACAGCTCCATAAATGAAATTATCTTCTATAATTTATATTTTTTTGAAAAAATGCTATAACTTACATGCCCATGTTATTTTCTGGTACAAAATAAAGCACAAAGGCATGTGTGTATTTCCTTGCTTTTTTTTAGGAAAGTATCATTACATTGTCTTCTCTAGACTAAGCAAACTTAGTAAGTGGTCAATGGAAATCCAGGGTTATATATATTTTGCAAGTGGATCCAAGAGACCAAGTGGGCGAGTCCATTATTTTGCAGGGGTTGCAAGATACACATATTCCAATTTCAGTTAATCGATTGTCTGCCTCTAAAATGTATTTTGTCATTTATGATAAGAAGACAATTGGCCCTAAGAATAGACATTTGTCGAGTCCAAAGTAAATGAAATATAGTAAATTGATCATTAATTGCTTACTTCCTGCAAAAGCTATGTGGATTTTGATATTAATAGCTTTCCCACAGCGCACTGGACAGCTGAATAAAAGTGACCTTTAAAACATGAATAATGAGATCAGCGACTTACTCTTGGTCTCTAACTGTGTCTTACATCAGTATCATCCATCCGTGCAAGTATTGGAGCGCTGAATTACTTCTTTTTCATTAATTTCCAATATGGCAGTTTGCTTAGGAGTGAGGTTTAGAACGAAATAAATTTTGAGAATGAGTTAGGTTCGGACAACCTCCGGAGATTTACAAAAATGTCCAAGCAGAAAACGCCTTATTGGAATTTGGCAGGAAAACATTCACTCGACTAACAATTACAAGTCTTGATCGAAAAGGAAGTACATCAGCGCTCCAATACTTTGCATGGAAGGATGATAATGATGTATGACATATATGTAGTTAGAGAACAAAAGTAAACCGCTGATGACCTTAATTCATGTTTCAAAAGTCAATATTATTCAGCTATCCATGTCTCCGTTAGAGAGCCATAAGTTTCAAAATCTAACATGGCTCTCGAAGTGAGTGATAATTGCTAATATCGTAGATGTCAGATTGGACTGTGTATTTTTCTATTCAAGGGATTAATACTGTGCTGTTAGATGCCCCTTTCACACTACATAGTACCCTTTGAAACACTAAAGGGGTGTTCATTATGACAGTTTTACTGTACTGAAATCAGTGGCTGTGAATTATTGACCCTAGGTGTCCAATAGAAGACGCATGGTGTGAATTGGGCACAGATCTTCACTATGTGTTCATTATGACAGTTATACTGTACTGAAGTCACTAGCTTGGAATTCAGTATATACAAAATTGGAATTTGTGTATTCTACCACCCTTGCAAAATAATGGACTCGCCCACTTGGTCTCTTGGATCCACCTGCAAAATATATATTACCTAAATAAAACGAGAATTGGAAAATAAAAGGGTAACTTCATTTTTTATGTCACCACCAAAAAGTGGTGACATATTGTTATGGTCTCCGTTTTTTCCAAAAAGTGGTGACATATTGTTATGGTCTCCATTTTTTTTATGGCGGTTGGTGGTTGGCGGTTGGAGTCTGGGTTGGAGTCTGTAACAAATTCTTACAACTTCCAATAATTAACAAATACTGTTTAGACCGAGTTCAAGGTCAAACAAGGTCAAAATGGTCTTTTTTCAACTTGCTTCAAATTGACCAATTTTTTTTTCAAAATTATCTACAAGTTATCAGAAGTTCAAATCTGACTTTAGATTTGAGATTTGATCTTCAATGACCTTCTCAATGTCAAAAAAGGTCAAAAAGGTATTTTTTCACCTTCTTCAAATTGACCAATTTTTTTTAAAAAAATCATCTACAAGTTCTCAATAGTTCAAATCTGACTAGATTTGACCTTCAATGACATTCTCAAGGTCAAAAAAAAATTTGACCTTCAATGACATTATCAAGGTCAAAAAGGTATTTTTTCATCTTGCTTCAATTTGACCACGTTTTTTTCAAAATCAGCTACATGTTCTCAGAAGTTTAAATCTGACTTAAGATTGAACTCATGATATTGTGAGCAACTAGGTGGTGACATTTTGTCATGTTAATGCCTTGTCTAATTCATGTTTCTCATCTTGTTCACATTGAATATTACAGTTTCCAAGTACGGTGTATCAAGTCTGTGGAGAATTATACATTTGGTGTAGTGTTTGGCACCGAGACTGACGCATTCACAATAACTTGCAATGACTTCTTCACAGCGCTATTTTGCCAGCTTTTGGTACGTACTATTGTTTTTGGTATATTTTGGGCATTCTTGGTAAATGTCAAGGTGACCATTCTGGATTTTCTGTCCTAAAATCTTGTCTGTCGAGGATTTTCTACAGGTTTGCAGCTAAACTGTTTGAGGGATTCGTCTGAAATTTTCAGGGATGTTTCTTTATATGAAAAATTGAAAAAATTTCTGATGAGCTTTGTCTATAGCCGGGTTCCAACCAAACTGTTTCAGGGATTCAGCTAAAATTTTTACATAAGCTATAATGGTAAGAAGTTCTATAGCTGATTATTATGCTAACACCAAAAGTGGTGACATATTGTTTATGGAATGTTTTCTGCTTCATTATTCGTATTTTACTATATGTATTCGTAAATTGAACTTCTGTACTTGTTAAATGCACATTTATGTTCGTAATTCACATTTATTTTCATTCATTGTTTGCCTTTTCTGTTCGTTAATCTATTTTGTTTCGTAAAAACGTATATGTATGTGTTTTATACTGAAATACATTCAAAAGTCCTTAAACGCATTTGTTAGTGACACATTGTTTATCCGTATACAAATAAAATGAGTTCATTTTGTACCTTTACATTGTTTCTGCATATACATGTATATTAATTTGATATTTAAGAACTGAATGTCGAATTTATCAATGAATAAGTACTAGTCTTGGCATTTTTATTTTTTAATTGTGGAATTTATTTTCGTAACAAGGTAATATGTTTTCGTAAAAGTGCACATTTATTGTTCGTAAATATTGTCATTTGTATTCGTAAATTGCACTTTTATATTCGTTTTTCATTGGTTTATTAAGATCACGTGATCATTCTCAACGAGACATGGTCAACCCTTGGTCAAAGTCATCGCCCCCTCCCCCACACATGTCATGTCACGTGACCTTTGCCTCGAGACTTGCAGTTTATATTCGTTAATTCACATTTGTATTCGTAAACTCACATTTATATTCTAAAGTTTCATTTTATCATTCGCAAATATACGGATATTCCTTTGCTTTCTGCAACAATTCATGGGTAATATGCAAGATTATTATTGGTAAAAATACATCTCTTCGATAAAATAACAGGCAATTTTGGTTAAATTTATGAATTGTAAGCTGTAGTTGGCGAATAATAAATTTAGTTACAAATATTTCTAGTCCTTTACAAACATAAAATGCACCCGAATTTAGTATCTGTTTGTTTATTTGATACATCATATTTGTATTTGTAATTTGGGAATTTTATTTGTAAATGTCACATTAATATTCGTATAAGGGAATTTATTCCAAACGAATAATGAAGCAGTTATGACCCTATAATTGTTATGGTCTCCATTTTTATCGTACCTAACAAGAGGTACGATATTGTAGTCAGCTTGACGGGCGGCGGGCGGCGTCTCACTTTTCAGCTTGTCTACAGGTTTCCAGCCAAATCATTTCAGGGATTCATCTGAAATTTTCAGGGATGTTTTTACATATCAACGTCAAGAACTGATTAGATTTTGGCCATTCTGGGTAAATCTTAAGGTGGCCATTTTGGATTTTCCGTCCTAAAATCTTCACTTTCAAGACTTGTCTACAGGTTTCCAGCCAAACCATTTGAGGAATTCATCTGAAATTTTCAGGGATGCTTCTACATATCAATGTCAAGAACTGATTAGTTTTTGGGCATGCTGGGTAAATTTTAAGGTGGCCATTTTGGATTTTCCGTCCTAAAATCTTCACTTTCAAGACTTGTCTACAGGTTTTCAGCCAAACCATTTGAGGGATTCATCTGACATTTTCAGGGATGTTTCTACATATCAACGTCAAGAACTGATTAGTTTTTGGGCATTCTGGGTAAATTTTAAGGTGGCCATTTTGGATTTTCCGTCCTAAAATCTTTACTTTCAAGACTTGTCTACAGGTTTCCAGCCAAACCTTTTGAGGGATTCATCTGAAATTTTCAGGGATGTTTCTACATATCAACGTCAAGAACTGATTGGTTTTTGGGCATTCTGGGTAAATTTTAAGGTGGTCATTTTGGATTTTCCGTCCTAAAATCTTGTCTATCAAGGCTTGTCTACAGGTTTCCAGCCAAACCGTTCAAATTTTTTATTACATATGTTACACAGTGATAAGTTCTAGAGCTGATTAACTTTTCTGCGGCCATCTTGCTTTCTTGGTCAACAAGACCACAATGCTGTGTTTTAGGTACGATATTGTTCACGTCTGTGCCTTGTTTGTGAAGGTGGTTGGTGATTTGAGATTTGACCTTCAATGATAGTGGTGTAACGAGTGACTTGGGTAATCGACTAGAACTGGAATGAGGCTAGAAAAATGATCAATCGATTGAAAATCGTGATCCTGAAAATTATCTTCAAGATCTCATAAATTCAAATCTGACTTTTAGATTTAAGACTAATTTGACCTTTACTGATCATCTCAAGGTTAAAAGGTAAAAAAGGACTATTTTGAACTTGCTCCAATTTGACCAGTTGTTTTTTCAAGATCAGATCAGACTAAGATTGAACTAATAATATTGTGAGCTACTTGATGGTGACATTTTGTCATGTTAATGCCTTGTTTATTGCCAAACCTGTATTAAGTATTTACTTTACAACTCAAAGAGATATATTTCATTGTGGTTTATGAACATCCTATGTTTTCTAGCATGACTCAATGAGCTGGTACTTCTAACCTATAGTTCAGATTTCAGATGCCTTTCTTACTCTTGTTCACATGTTACATTATGAAGATTTTGTTGATCATGTTCATGATATGTTTCTGTATGTGGTCACATGTTTCTTTACATGGTCACATGTTTCTCTATGTGGTCACGCATGACCTGAAAATAGTTAATTATCCCACCAAACGAAGTTCAAGGAAAGCCATCTGTTCGTCTGTCCATCTGTTTGTTCGGGCGATAACTCAAATACCAGTTGATAGAATTATTTCATATTTTATAGGCTTATGCCTTATAGGAGTAGAACCTCTGCTTGAGAAGGAATTTTCAATATGGCCGCTTCATTCAAAATGGCCAGTAGATTTGTTCAAGAAAGAATTTTTAAGGGGGCTGGATTTCAAAATGACATATTTTTTGATAACTCAAATACTAGTTGACAGATTTGGTTTTAATTTTATATGCTGATGCCCAGGGACAAAGGCGCTACACTGAAGAAGAGATTTTTAAAATGGCTGCTAAACATCAAAATGGCTTCCATTTTCTGTAAAAAACTTAATCAAATAACTTAACTCAAATACCAGTGATTGGATTTGATTCAAATTTTATGTGATGATGCCTAGAGACACAATTCCTCTGTTTGACAAATAATTTTCAAGATGACAGCTGAATTTTTAGATGGCGTCTATTATCATAAAAACTTAGTGAACAGATTTGGATCAAATTTTATATGAGGATGCCTTAGAGACTCAATAGCTCTGTTTGACAAAGAATTTTCAAGATAGCAGCTGAATTTTAAAATGGCCGCCACTTTTTAATAAAAAAATATCAAAGTGGCTGCCATTTTTTGTAAAAAAAACATAATCTTTGATAACTCAAATACCAGTGAACATATTTAGATCAAATTTTAGTGCTGATGCCTAGGGACACAGAAGCTCTGTTCGAGAAAGATTTTCAAAATGGCGGCTGAATTTCAAAATGGCTGCCATTTTTTCGTAAAAAGGAATGTAATCTTTGATAAATCAAATGCTAATTGAAGGATGGTTTACATTTTATATGTTGCTGCCTAGGGACAAACAAGTTCTGCTCAAGAAAGAATTTTGAAGATGGCCACTAATAATCAAAATATCTTTTGTTCAGTGGGATTTGCTACTCCGTGGAGTTGCTGTTTTCTAGTTGTACATGTGTTAGGTTTATTTTAATTTTAATTGCAGGATAAAGTCACATTTGGAACAGAGTTGTGACGATGCTTATATACCAGTGGATGACATCTATGATAACTATTTGAAAGACCATCCCCAGGATTCTGTTCCTAGGGGTGTGTTGTCTACCATCATAAGATGTACCTTTTCTATTAATAGTGGGAGAATCTCAATTAACAAGAAAAGATGCACTACATACATCGGTCTGAAATGGAAATCACAACAAATAAAAACTGAAAATGAGCCTGTCAATTTACAGGATTTTGTAAATCATTTGGAGCCTAATTGGATTTTACAAGGAAAAGATGAAAATTCTATCACTTTATGCTGTCTAACAAATGATTTTTGTAATGGACACAATGTGATAAAATATGTTAATGTGCAAACCAACGGTGATGTCAAAATATCAGTTGCACAAGCAGTTGTTAACTCCAAAAGATGTGGTATTCCAAATAAAACAAAGTTAGACAATCATTCGTTAAAAACATTCCTGAAAATTGTTAGCTTAAGGCCAATATGTTGGGGTTATCCAAACATTGAGCAGGATATAAATGTGAAGCAGTGTAAGAACTGGACAAATAAAGATTCAAATGGAGGAATCTTTTCAAGGTCTCACAATTGTTTTATATTGTTACACGAAGGGCAAGATACCCACACATGCAAGGCCTGCACAACTAGGAGACTGTTTATCCTTGAGGAACTTAAAGCACAAAAACAGGAAGAATCATATTTACATGAAGTTACAGAAGACGAAGAATTTGAATCAAACCCACATGTAGTTACAGAAGACAGAGAATTTGAAGGTCAGGGAAATAAAAGGTAATGAAAGATTTGGGTATGTTTGAACAAGAATAATTTTATCAGTCAAATGCAAGTCTCTAATTCATCATGTTACTATAAGACATTGCTCATGATGATCAGATGTTTTGGTGATATATCTTACAGTAGCACAAAATTAAATGATAGAGACCTTAATATTAAAACTATAAATTTTCAAATAATATAAGTAGTAAAACATTTACCTATACAGCTGTATAGATGTTTCTCTAACAGCATGAATATCAAATATCACATGATATTACATATAAAATGCAATTTTATCATCCAATCGGGATAGAGCTGTCTTAGTTGTTTCATGCAAGATCCGAATGAAATGCGTTCGTTTTTTTGGCATTTGTTTTTTTGATGTATCAGCATCATTTTTTTTAACTTCTCCGACAGAAGTATTTTTTGCTTGACATTTATCAAATAAAATAAGTATTTGTGAGACATATTATGTCTCGCAAAAAAGTAAAAATATGCAAATTGCGGGACAGTTGGACAGCAACTGGATTTTATTAAGGATCATAACATACACAATTTTAATGGTCCCTGGGACTAGTACAGTATTCCAAAGCCTCTGATACACAGTCATTATTTCAATGAATCATAACATTAACAAATTTCATGTACCAGAGATGGTTCATTCCTTCATTTCTGAGAAAATAATTTTTTTAAATGGCAATTTATTGTTTATTTAAGTATTCATTAATCTTAAACAGCTCTTTGCACAGATTTGGAATGTTTAATAATTATTTGTAGAAGAACTGTCATCTCCAAGAAGAGCAAGTGCTAAATGTTAGGTCATCAGGTCTCACCCCAGAAAGATTCAGGGCTCAATATGTCATAATCATCGAATTATGCTCTCCTGAAAAATGATGAGACTTGAAAATGTGTCGCAATCTTTAATTTAGGCAATTTCAGGCATGATATATTATAATAACATCTCAGAGAAGCACCAAATATAACAGGTCACATATTTGTTTCATTTTGTATGGCAGACCACAAGCAATCTCAAAAATGAATTTTTCATGTTATATTGCACCGATTGCAAAATATTTTGCACTGATTGCTTTTGGGTTTGAAATTGACGAACTAACATTTTTACTACAGTAGTCATTGTATTGTTCATACTGTAGCTACTTCAACAAAACACACAGAAAACAGTTTGCATTCGTTCATTGTACTGTGTATCACAATGTTTCTTTGCTTTTCAGATTGAATGAACAACAGTTGAAGATGGATATCCATAAAGATTCAAAGTGCATGCAATGTCAAAATACCTTCGTTAAACGTAAGCATGGATATAAGAGGAAATCACTACAAGTTCTGAGGGACACTTGGCAGTACAGAAATATACGAGGATTGGTGGAGAATTTATTACAGAAAGGTGGACATCCTTCCAAATCATTTGTATGTGAGAAATGTATTGGGGATTATCGGACAAGTGTAAGGCCGCCAAAGGCGCCAAGCTCTCATTCATCAACTCATCTCCATTCTAAGTCATCCTCTCGTACCTCGCACACATGTACACCTAATAAACCGACAATACCTGAAATTCCTATTGAAATTCGAATGCAAAAACATGATCATTCATACGGCTTGGCCCCACCACCTCCTCAAAAGCCGGTAAAGCCAGGGACAGTTCGAAATGTACGGGTACTAGCTAAAGCTGCTCTACGACGCTCCAACTACAGACGTCTAATCAGATTCTTATATGAAGGAAGCAAGAAATTCAAACAGGAACTTCAAACATTTATAAATGGAAAGATAAAAAGAGAGATAAGAACTTTCTCCAAGAAAATGAAACCCTACAAGAACTGGAGTGATTTAATGAAACAGTCCATCGCCAGAATGCCGTTATTAACGAGTACAATTGAGGCAGCTGTGCCTGAAGAAATGCACAGGAGGGACATAGATTCAGCTGCACGAGTTGGGGTAGTGACATCTATACTGTGCTTTAGCAATAACCATCATGCAAATCAGTTTCAAAAGATGGCAAGCTATCAACTATGGAAGCATGGGTGTGACCAGAAAGTAAGCATTATTTGTTTATTATTATCATATTATAATTATTAATATATGAATGACTAAAGTCACATGATTTTGTATAGATAAGCTACTATTGACTAAACGTAGATGGCCAATGGAGCACATTATATTTTATGATATTTCAGGAATTAAAGTATTTGGTCATATCATTTAGCATACTTCAGTTGACTGATTAGCATTTGCAATGCTTTAGTTCAAATAATTGATCATGGTCAGTACAGTGTTTGTATGATCAGAATAATAAAGGATGGCTGACATTGAGAAGGTAATATTACTTGTACGTTGATATTCAAGAAAAGATCATGATAATTTGGCTATGGTGACAATATACTGTTCTTACATACATCAGATATAATATTTGTTATATTTCAAGTGAAGCCAACCATCCATCCATCTTCCCTTCAGACAATCAATTAGTCCAGTTGTCTATCCGCCAGTCCAGAGTATACACATTTGGGGAAATATGTATATTGGTGAATAGTTTTATGCCAAAAAACTTTAAAAATGGCAGGATTTTTTGTGAAAGTCAAAGCAAGAAATACATTGTTTGTTTTGGAGGTGTATTTATAACATCTATGAACTTCACATACATTATGAGTTTTTCTCCCAGGCCTCGAGAATTTAATTAATTTTGAAGTCTTTTAAAGTATTATACTTTATACTAGCTAAGCTAGATTGAAAATAAGATTGTATCATTTTTCTGATTCGGCTCTCGTAAAGTTCAAATGGCTGCCTTATGTGAGATTTTGCTATAATTTTCTGATCTCTTCAATGTATGGCTATATTATACTCAGATTTTAGGAATTTTAGAGTAGATAACAATAATGCAGATGCAAGTAGGTAGTTACCAGTTTCACCACCAGGTGGCTCGTTTGGGTCAGATAGCATGGCGGGTATAGTAGAAAGTTCCCTTTAACTTAAATTACATCTGTTTTAGTGGTTCAATTTTCATATAACCCGTATGTATCTAATAATAGAGAGATTTTGCACATACGTAAAATACAACTTATAACATATACTTATACTTATAAGAAAACGTACAAGGTGTTTCATAATGTGGGCTTTTCGCCAGGAAAGATCTTCTCGGACTGTAATAAATAAAGGTCAAAGGGATGCCATTTGTACTTTCTTGAATTGTAGCATGTTTAGTTGATCCAAATGTGTTTGTCTAGAATAAAATAGGCTCATATATAGTACATACATATTGACCCATCTCTTCTCAAATTGACTTTTTGGAGATGCTCGTTATGAAACACCCTGTATGTCATTTGTTGAGCTACTGAATGGGTTGTTTCCAGGAATTGCTAGAACCCGCTGGTTTGATTGGTGTTTCAAATTGATGGTTAAAGTATTTGATTGGATACTGTTCCTACTCAGCCAATTAATTAAAAAAAATGCTTGCAGTCAATTGTTCCACACACATGTAGGTAAAGCTTGTATACGTTTATCATCTACGTGTATATACAATTTTGTAAGTTCATTGAACTTATACTGATCATGAAAACTTTGAAATAATCAACTTGTTTATGTAATGACTCACTTTAAAGGATCATGACTCACTTTAAAGGATCGTGTTTATAATACACTACAACTACTAAGACACGGAAGCAAGCATTTAATTATAATGTGCATAATCTACACGTGCCGATGACAGTGCATTCACAGTCTCTGGTTGATGGAGCTTTTCTATATCGGGAATAGTTATGTTCCATTAAGTACAATTTAAAATTGATTTTAGTAAATATAATAGCTCGACATGACCCTTTAAAGTATATGTATACGTATAAGTTGTACTTTCACTTATGTGGGAAATCTCTCTAATTATACAAATCAAAATATGTCCAGTAAATGAAAATGTTATCTGACCAATACAAGAAAAGATATTTCACTTTTTGTGATTTTGTAACTTGGGCTCTATGGAGAATCAACCCGAACTAGAAGTCACACTTTCAAAAATAATTAAATTTTCAAACTTGATAAACAATTTTCGAAACCATATTTCTAGCTGTACTTTCACATGTAGATTTCAAATATAACATCGCTTTGACTGAATTTTGAATATTTAATGGCGTAAATCAAGATTTTTTCTATTTTTTGTATGTCTATTTAATATCTGCTAATTTAATCAAGGGTAGATGGTAAATAATTCATTGTGACAAATACAGATTTATGGATATAATGTGTGTTAGGATTTGCTGAGTTGCCTGTTTCTAGTTATACTTTTCTTGTAATTAATTTCTGTTGTATCTCCAGATGATGACTTATCTAAACCAGTTAGGCCTTGCTGTCTCTGCCAAAACAAATCAGGTCAATGTTAAAAAAGCAGATAAAAGAGAACAAGAACAGGTAAATGTAAATCAAAATTAGTTAGTTCATGCATGAATGCTGTCAAATCCAATTAAGAATGGTACAGGGTTTAGATATACTATCAGCCCTTTATAAAAAATGACATTGTTCAGTTCATTGTGAAACCAATAACACAACACACTGTGATGACATCACCCTTTTACCAAAAATGGCACTGGTCAGTTCATTAATATGAAACCATAATCACGCGGTAGGATCTCTTCAGGACGTATCGAAACCACTCCGTCCCGAAAAAACCGTTAATTTGAATTTAAAACCTACCCCAGTGTTTGAAAATCAAGGATTGTGAGTCTCACACTTCACCGTTTTTCTTCAAACTTGTTCCGTACAAAGCTTCACAGAAAGACCTTTCAGTCGATACATTGTTTTCGTGTACAAAGTACCTCGTTTTAGCGGCGTTTTGGTCCCCAGCTGTGAGATAAAGCAAATTTTCATAACTTTCAACTGTAAGTCAAGTTATCTCGCCAGTCTTTTACCCATTCTCGCCCATAATTTCAGAATGGACTCCCATTACAACCTTCCATCGCTACGTCTTGATTTTTGGGCATCAAACGCAGCAGTTTCTAAATCATCCACACATCTCTTAAAATTTGACCAATACGCCCCGTCATCTTCCACTACGCCCCGCCGAGTCTATCACTTTACACGTAGAGTTGCATTCTAAAACAATTTGTTCATCGATGTGTCCGTTTGTAGGTTGCCATTGTCGATTCTAAATACCAATCGGATTGTGTTTTAAGATTTACCCATTCTTGTCCATTTTCAATATACCTATAATAGGGTGGTCCAAAATCTCCCTAAAATTTAGATTTCCCGATATTGCAATATAAAGATTTTAATTACTGAACAACTGAAAATATTTTTAAGAAACGTTTAAAGTGCCCTATCCTTGAAAAAATGTGAAAATGCGAAAGGATGGGTGATGTCAATTATATTATTTTCAGCATAACGTTAGAAACATGTATCATTTTATATGGTACACGTTTCATAATGTAATCCAATGGAATCATACAGAAGAAAGGTTGACACACAACAGTTAAAATCTTTATATTACATTATCACACCAAGTCAGTAGATGTTGTTTATATACCAATTAGTGTTGTATGATGATGCATTCTTTATATGAATCTAGAAACGTTTTTGTGCCAATATTGCTCAATTTTTATAACATCTCCGTTATTTTGAAATTAAGCGTGGCAAAGTTTCCCGATGGATTTAGCTAAAAGAAGTGGTGCCTGTAGGGTTATTGAAAATCATACATGATGAAGAAAAAATACATATTCCTGAAATACAACAGTTTAATTTTGAGTTATAAACCATTTATGAAAACGGCATATTTGTCAAAATTACCAAAAGTTCAAGTGAGACGCGTGGCAAAATTTCCCAGGGGTCTAGAGTGGAAATATTTGTACCAAGAGTCAATTTGTAACTAGAATCTATCAGATGACAGATTTTTGGAAAATTTTGCAGATTTGGACAACCCTAACCTATAACTTTGTTGAACCTGAAGAAACGTATCAACTTTTTGTTAAATAAAGATAGCAAATTCAGCTGTCTACTGTACCTAACTTGTACTTTTTGCTAGTACTCAGATTGATGGATATCCTGTCGTATGACATGCGACAAACACCGGTGTAAAAGCGTAGGTGGTCCTATCAAATTATGGTCCTAGTCTCTATTGATTTATATGGTGACCTGATTACAATTATTTTCCTTATTATTTATACACAATCAGGGCTAGAAAGGGCCGTTAGGAAAGGGGACCATAATCCCCAGGGGACCATAATTTCTTTCACACCGGCTTTGTTAGTACTTTGCCTTGGATGTCATACAGTACATTTACACTGTGGCATGATGATGAACTTAGAAAATATGTAAAGTCATGACAAAATGTTCTTTGTGATATAATATTGTATAGTATCATTCTGATACGTATAACATGTTTATGTTTAGTGCATAAAATTCATAGCCAGATCAATAATTCGGAGAGAATACGCTGGACGATAGAATATTAAAAACTATAAAAACATTCTTCATAGATGTGTCGCAAAAAGGTGGCGCATTTGTTTTTTAAGGGTATCGCGTGAATGTAACTTTGATTCCCCGGATTATAAGATAATATTCTAATTAAAGTTATATATCATTTTAAAGCTGTTTCGATGAAGTTTTTAGATCAACTACACTCCGTTCACAATTCTTGCGTGTTCTTTTTTAAAAAAGAGTTTTTTACCAAAACATCTGGCAAATATCCCCTGTTGACACGTTACATTTTGAATTATTTTTCGTCTTTAAACGCTCATAACTCAAACAATATATGACTATTATACTTATTTTTCGTCTTGATCACAGGCTGGTATCGAAATATTTGTCCGCTGTGACGGAGCATGCTATTTTTCATAAAAACACTAAGAATACTTCACGATTTATTTTTTAACTCATATCTTTCGTTATACCATACAAAATTACTTACTCCATGCAATGGATATATCATTTGCGGGTAACTTTCACTTCTGTTTGAAGTCCAATTACGCTGGGAAGAAAAGCTATTGAAAATGGCGCCGGCGTATCATACTTCAAAATGTACCATTTCTTGTTTAACTTTCTAATGGCAGGATATAGTGACACGATGATATTTACACATGGTTTCAGCATAACTATGAAGGTATAAATGAGATGTTGATGTATTTGGTCTTTTTAATTCTTTTATAAAAAATAATGTTTAATTTTTTTGTCCGCTGTGACGGAGCAGTTGCAAATGTAAACTGTGAAAATGCTCCGTCACAGCGGACAAAAAATATTAATATTATTTTTTATAAAAAAATTAAAAAGACCCAATGCATTAATATATCATTAATACATTCAGAGTTATGCTGAAAACATATGTTAATATTATCATGTCACTGTATCATGCCATTAAAAAGTTAAAAAAGAAATGGTACATTTTAGAGTTTGATACTCTGGCGCCGTTTTCAATAGATTTTACTCCTAGCGTTATTTGACTTCAAACAGAAGTGAAGGTTACACGCAAATGATATATCCATTGCATGGAGTAAATTATCTTTGATATAACGAAACATATGAGTTAAAAAATAAATCGTGAAGCATTCTTAGTGTTTTTATGAAAAATAGCATGCTCCGTCACAGCGGACAAATCTTTCGATCCCTGCCTGTGTTGATAAAGGTAGATAGAAGTTTTATTTCAAAGGATGAATTTTAGTAAGCGTCCCATATTGTGACGTCATAGAGTTTGAAAAATAGAATCTGTTGACAACGACCTTTTTTGCTCATTTTTTGTTACCTTCAACTTTTCAGGTGGACATTAAACAAAAAATACGAGATCAATCTTTAATAAATCATACATGATTATTTTGCTCTTAAACTCTAGTTTATTAATAAATAGTTGATTTTGTTCGCAAAAGTATGTGTTTTTTGTTGTATGTGGAAAAGTGGAGGACGAAAGGTTTTCAAAATTCATTAAAATAGGGCAAATTTACGCCATTCGCCTATTTTCAAGCACAGCAACACGTATATTTGTTTCACCTAAAATATCAATTGATCCGTGTTTTATGATGCTCCTAGCCCATTAACAATATATATATGATATCAGAGTTATTCGTCTAAAATGTTTTGAGATATAGAGGTAAATGTTGAGGACGAAAGGATTTTCATGTGTGTACATTTTTCTCAAAAACGTCACATTCTATCATGTTAAAAGCGAGGATCCTCTGGATTACGCCACAAAATGTGTAACAATGTGTGCGCGACCTTTTTGCGACACGTCATAGAATTAAGCAAATAGTGTTATTATCATTTAAGTAGTAACTGCATATGTTTAAAACCACTCTGTTTAAATACAGGTAAATAAATAAATATGATGCAATGAAAATTGAAGCTTTCTGTCGAGAGCAATAGTCATCACAATAGTATAGCGTTTTTTCTTTTACATGTTACTTTTTGTACATCATTGATTGATCCGCTCTAATC